TTTGCAGTAGAGGCGCCGCGGTCGTCGCTCTTCGTTGTTGACGGCGTAGAAGGCGAGCTGTTCGCGTTCTCGTCGTGGCGCTGGTCGCTGCTGATCCATATCCCGTTGTTTGACGAGAAGGGCGGCGCAAAGGGCGGCCTCCGAGATGACCCCCTGCTGTCAGAGGAGCGCCTTGCAGGGCCGCCACTCTGGGCCAAGCCCTTGAAGCACAATGTTCACGAAGATTTCATCGGAAATCGAGCTTCCCAACTTCACGATTTGATCGCAAAGGCTCCGACAGCGGTTGATGTAGCTGTTGACCTTCTCCCCTGAGGTAATCTTAGTTTCCAACAGTTGTTGGAGTAGTCGGCTCGTGAGTCGCTGAAGCAGTTGTGCGAGGACGGCAGAAGGAATCGTCGTCGTTTCCTCGTTTGTCGCAGCCGGGTTGGGCTGCGCTTCAGCCATCAGATTCGTCTGACCTCCAGATCATCCGGCCATTCTTACACGTGCTCGTGTGCCGGACGCCACTTTCCGAATGTCGGAGAGTTCGGAGATGGCGGTGCGAAGGATTCCTGAGTCGCTCTCATACCATGCTGCGATCAGAAGTTGATCGTGGCCTAGGATCTACTCAGGAAGGTTCGCACGTAGAGAAGTGATGTTGGTGGGCCCTTCACCTCAATAGCAGAGTGAATGTAAAATGCTTTGAGATGATGAAGACAATGCAGTACAAGGAATATAAATATGAGTACACGGGAATTCGAAACGACCTAGCTAGCCATATACTCTAAGGGGTACATTCCCTGATTGCAGCGAAATCCAACCGTGCAACTCCGAGTGGTTACGTAACTGTTCGGGCAGAATCCTCGCCACTGCTGCTGCATGATGCTGTCTGCCCGACGGTCGAGATGCTCCTCGTAACCGTCCGTCCCTTTGCCTTTTCTTCTGCCTTTTCGTCTTCACTCTCGATAGTGCGTGCTTTGGCTTTGCTACGGTGAGGAGTGCACAGTAATATTCAAGTATTACTAATCATAACACTACAGAGTTCCAAACATGGCAGAACAACAATGGATGTTATTTGTACACTCAACAATGGCTCCTCTTTCTGTCCCTTTTTGCCATACGTGTTGTAGTTACCATTTGGTGTGTATATAAATGGTAAAGTCCTTCCTCTTCCGCATCAACACATACCTGACAGTAGCGAAGTGTTCCTGGTAAGAGATGCCGCCGAGCACTAGCGTTGCCAATAGCGAAGGTAACTCAAGTGTATCACACGTCTGGCACACGCTACTGCTGCTCCAGTGATGCCATGTGGCGTGATTTTCCATGCAGAAAAGCTCTTATATTGAAGTGAAGCTGTTAGGCTCTATATAGTCAGCTTTGCGTTTCGATGCCCCTTCTCGGCCTTCCTGTCCACATTCGCATCGCCGTCGATTTCCTCGCCACCTTGGCGAACCGCGTGCTTCACAGAAGGGTCAAAGCGGCTCGATGCGCCCTGGTTTTCTCACATTGCGGTGCCACTCGTTTTTCATTTGAGCACATTGCCCCACCAACCCATGGATGCGAAAGTCGCGATTTTCATCGAGATTGTTGTAACATGTCGTTCCCGTCGTGCAGGCCCCTCTGCCGCCTAATCCTTCACTGGCGCCGGTCGTCCAGCCAATAGTAATTCGCGCTCCTCTCGACGCGACAAATTCCGGAAATTTGTTCTGGACGTTACCCGTAGGATTCGGGTGGAGTTGGAAGTTCCTAACGAATTTCAGCTTCCTGACGTGTCCTGCCTGTCCTGTCAAGGCAGAAGCACCAGCCCTTGGTTACCACCTCCCTCCCTACCCTGCACTGGGCCTTCTGGGGGCACTTGTTGGTCGCCAAGCCCATTCGCTCACTCGCTTCCAGAATCCAGATGCGGCTCCAGCCCCTTGAAACCGATTCGAGCTGTGTCCGCTGCGCCCACTGCTTGCCCCGTTTGCTTCCGTTCCTCAGATCACATACCGCCTCGCCGTGCCTTCTTTCCTCTCCAGCATTCTCCACACGCTATAAGTGAGCACTCATCATACCTCACCACAGTCCTACGATTATCCTATGGGCTTCTAGCTTCTGACTCGAGCGTGTAGCACTCCACCTATTTAGCGAACGTTTTCCCGCCAAACAAACCATCTCTCCTTTTGCCCTTGTCTGCCCTCACTTCGTTGCCTCGGTACCTCGTCACCTAGCCGCCATGGCTTGTACAGGCTGCAGGCTCAAATGGCTCGCTGCGGGGCTGGGCCTCGCTATAGCGCTCCTCGCCGCCTGTCACGCTGTCGACAATTACTTCGTTATAATACACCCCTCCGTCTGCTCATCCACGTTTGACCCAGCGGCATGCGCGGAGGAGATTCGTGTAGCGCGGCGCTCGCTCGGGGTACTCCCAAGGCCGATAAGCGCAACGAGCGCCGTCATGGTCAATTCCCTCACCGCGCAAGCGCATGCGATCCAATCCTTCGCCCAGGAGATCAGGCGAATGAACTTCGCCAACGTTCGCATGAGAAACGTCGTCGCAGGCGACTGCGAGCGACAGACCGACACGGCGCTGTACCATCTGGGAAAGGCGTCGGCGGCGCTGGCGGCCGGCAGCAACCAGGAGGACTTGCCGTACTGGCTGGCGGCAGCGAGGCGGCAGATGAGCAACTGCCTCGATGGCTTCAAGGAATTTTCCCCCGCGGCTCTCAACACGCCTTCCGGCATCATGCTTAACGTAAGTCGCAACGATCGGACTCACGGTAACCCAGAGGGACAAGCAAGGATATTCAACCAAGCGCATTTGTGCATACCAGCTTTACTTTTGTTGATGATCCTTATCCCAAACTTGCGCCTCCCGTTTCTGCTCGGTATTGCCCCCACTCCGCCAGTCCGTGATCCATCGCTCAGCGGCCACGTACGACGCCGCCATCGCTCTGGCGACAAACGGCGCGCAAGCGGCGATGGCGAACGTCGCACAGCGCGGTCGCCAGACGCTGGAACACGTGGATGACACGCCCGAGTCGGACGGACGGCCCTCATGGGTCGAGGCGGGGCTGTACGAGCAAATCAAAGAGCTTCAAGCGCACGTCGCGGGCGACGCGGAAGCCGCGGGAATGTGGGCGGAACGTGGCAGGCGCGTTCTGGAGCGAAGCGAGACGGAAAAGCTGACGGGAAATCCGCGCCGTCAGCTGCAGGGCGCTACTTCCAAGGCGCCGACCAAACTGACTCCGAACGCGGTGGTGGGAAAGAAGGAGAAGTACAAGAAAATCAGCGGCGCGATTAAAGCCGCCCCGTCTAAAGGCCGCTTCGTTATACTTATCAAGGCAGGGGTGTACAAGGAACAACTGAGCATTGATAAGGAGGGCATTATTCTGATCGGCGAGGGCAAGGACAAGACGATCATCACCGGCAAGGATAGCGTCGCCGGCGGATCGTCTACCTACGGCTCCGCTACCGTCAGTAAGTACCGCCCCCCTCACTTGGTCCTCTCTCCCGTCACCCTTCACCATTCACCTTGGTAATATCCGGTGCTGGTGCTGACCGCGGCGAGTAACGCTGTTTGCCCCCGCCACTTCGTGCCACTCTTTCCTTGGTTCTTTCAGCCGCCAACAAGGACGGGTTCATGGCGGTGGGTCTCACCATTGAGAACGCGGCGGGGCCGGAGGGCGAGCAGGCGGTGGCGCTGATGGTGAGCGGCGATCGCTCCGCTATCTACGACTCTGCAATCACGGGCTACCAGGACACGCTCTGTGTGGACGCCGGGCGGCAGTACTACAAGAACTGTTACATCTCGGGATTCACGGATTTCATCTTTGGGGATGCAGCAGCGCTGATCGACTCGCCGACTATTTTCCTGCGGGCAGGGAAGAAAAAGGTGCAGATTACAGCGTCTGGGCGGGAGAGTGACACCCCCACCGGGATTGTGATTCGCTCGGGGAAGGTCCAATCGGAGAGCGGCGTTCGGCTGGCGTATCTGGGCCGTCCGTGGAAGGACTGTGCGCGCGTGGTGTACGTTGATACGAACCTCCCCAAGGAGATTCAGCCCGACGGGTGGAGCACGTGGAACGGGGGCAAGCCCAAGAGCTGCCATTACTACGCTGAGAAGGGCAGCACGGGGCCGGGAGCGGCCAGCAAGCGTGCTTCGTGGGCCAAGCCGGGGATTATCTCGGATGCGAAGCAGTTTGGGCCGCAGCCGTTTTTGGAACTGAGCAAGTGGCTGAACGTGGTGGACGGTATTCTCAAGTAAACTTCTGGACGTGGTAGGCCAGACCACTGACTAGGCCAGATCACTGACCAGTTGCCTGCTGGCAGTGTCCACCAGCTGCGCACCTGCTCTACAGCCAGTTTCTCTTCAGCCTTGGCCTCTTCAGCCAGTTTCTCCTGCCATACCTCACCAGCCATGCTTCTCCAGCCATCCAACTATGCTTGTTGTTAACGTCAAGCTGAGCTTACATATTGGTCTGTCTGTGTCTAGCTTCCCCTGTGCCTTCCCTGCTCTATGCTTTTAGGAAGCCCATATATTAGCCACCTCTAGTGGCAGGGCCGATTCTCTAACGTCAGGATCTTTCTTAGTATGGGCGCTGTGCTTAGATAAAGCTTTGATTTTCTGAAGGAAATAAAAATTGGGATATTATTTCTGTAACTGCTGTACCAAATTGAGTGAGTCCTGGATTTCTATGGAGCCCTTGAAAATAATAAAATTTCAAAACAGTAGGGGGATGTTTATAATAGATACATAATCGTCACATGATATCAAATTCGGGTTGGGGGCCTGACCACGCTCTCTGTATGTTCTGTTTCAAGTGTTCAGCTTTTCAAACGCTGAACCGCGATTTTCCCGCGTCTCTCCTCAATCCCATTCCCATCCTCGCCTCTTTGCTTTCACCTCAGCCGGAACAGCAATTTGTCACACCCCGCGCCGCCATGATGATCGTAGGGCAGTACAGACAGACTATCGCGAACGGAGACGAGATACGATGCGACTAGGCCACCGTAAGGTGAAGCCATTGGAGCCGCAAGCCACGATGCAAAGCGTTTTCGCGACTCCGCTGCCTGGACTCTCCAAATCTTCGATTTTCACTAGTCCTATCATCGGGCGAAGCTTCCGGGCGGTTGCCGTTACGGCCGGGGTTGCGTGTTGTCTTTCCTTCCTGTACTTAATCGCAGACGACTATTACGTTTTCCGCGCGCCTCGGGAATGCCTCTCCGCTCTCAACGAAACGAAATGCGTGTCCGAATTCCGCGTCGCGCGGCTATCTCTAGGCGCGACACCCGCCTCTAGACGCGCCGTGATTCGCGCTCTAGTGCAACGGGTCCAAACGCAAGTCCGCGCGGCTCTGCCGCTGCTCGAGGAGATTAAAGCCAACGTGACGATTAGGACTCACTACTCGGAGGTTATAACGAAGGAATGCGCGGATCAGGCGGGAATCGCGCTGTACCACTTGGGACTGGCGGCCGACCGGCTCTCCTCATCAGCGCGCGGCGCGCGCGCCACTGGCGGCGGAACTGCTGGCGGAACTGAAGGCGGCGGCGGAAACGGAATGGTGGACGTGCCGTACTGGCTGGCTGCGGCGCAGCGCCAGATGCGCAACTGCATGAGCGCACTTAACTACTTCACTCCACCGTCGCTGCAGTCCCAGCCTGGTGTCGCTCTCACAGTGAGTTGAGGGCAGGCCGGTAGTTAGAGGCTCCTTCTGCCTTTTCCCTCACCTCGCCCCCTCCCATCGCCACCCACCCTCCACTCTTCTCTCTTCCTCTCCCTTCCCCTTGTGCCCGCCCCTTCCCTCACCCGCAGAATGTAACCTAACCGACCAGTGCGAGTCTCTTCTTGAAACCGCAGTGGCTCGGTTGAGTCGACCTCTTCTTGTGTCTCCCCCTCCCCTCCCCTCGCCCGCAGAACGTAACCAATCAGTGCGAGTCCCTCCTTGAAACCGCAGTGGCCCTGGCCTCTGCTGACGTGCCACTCTTGGATCCTGCCACGTGTCAGCAGCAAAAATCCCTCGCGCAGCAGCGGCAGCAGCAGGGAGGGGGGCTGGAGGGATACGAGGCACCAGCATGGGTAGACGTGGGGCTTTACAAGAAGATTAAGGCCTTTCAGAAGAGAATAGCAGCAGGGGTAGGGGCAGGGGCAGGGGCAGGGGCAGGGGCAGGGGCAGGGGGAGTGGCGGCAGGAGGCGTGGGATTGGTTTTGGATGCGGTGGTGGGGCGTGGGGAGCAATACACGCGCATTCAGGTGAGCGAGGCGTGCAGGATGACAAGGGGGGAGGTGGGTAGACGTGGGGCTGTACACGAAGATGAATGCATTCCAAAAGAGAATAGCGGCAGGGACAAGGGCAGGGGTAGGGGCAGGGGCATTGGGGGTGGCGGCAGGAGGCGTGGGACTGATTTTGAATGCAATTGTGGGGCGTGGGGAGCAGTACAAGCGCATTCAGGTGAGCGAGACACCCCTCGCCCATAAGTCTTTCTCATTCGAGAAGAGGGCCACTTAGGGAGGGTGGATGTGTGCGCTCAACTTACTCTCTCCTTCTCTCCTCTCCCTCTCCTCTCCCTCTCCTCTCCCATTCCTTTTCTCCAAAGCAAGCACTGGACGCAGCATCCCCTGCTGCCAATACCCCTCGCCCATACATCATCTTCATCCGAGCAGGGTGGTACCGGGAGCAGGTGCGCGTGGGGAGGGAGGGCGTGGTGCTGATGGGGGAGGGGGCTGACAAGACCGTCATCACAGGCAACGCCAGTGTTGCTGACAGCGCATCCACATACGGCTCTGCCACTGTAGGTAGGCGCTCAACTGAACACTCTCAATGCTCTCAGTGCTCGTCAGTGCATGATGGTGGGGGAGGGAGCTGACCGCACTGTCATCACTGCCAACGCCAGTGTGAATGATGGCGCATCTACGTACGGCTCTGCCACTCTAGGTATGATTCCAGTGCTGTCACTGCTCTCACTCCTCTCAATGCTCATCGCTGCATGCTGGTGGGGGAGGGGGCTGACAAGACCGTCATCACTGCCAGCGCCAGTGCGGCTGATGGCGCGTCCACATACAGCTCTGCCACTGTAGGTAGGCTCTCAACTGAACACTCTCAATGCTCTCAGTGCTCGTCAGTGCATGCCGGTGGGGGAGGAAGCTGACCGCACGAGGTGACTTTTGAGTCGACTCAAAAGTCACCGGTGGGTGAGGGAGCTGACCGCACTGTCATCACATCACTGCTAACGCCAGTGTTGCTGATGGCGCATCTACGTACGCCTCGGCCACTCTTGGTATGATTCCGGGGCTTTCACTGCTCTCACTCCTCTCTTGAGGCGCCTCAAAAGGTATGATTCCGGGGCTTTCACTGCTCTCACTCCTCTCAATGCTCACCACTCCATGCTGTTGGGGGAGGGAGGGAGACGATCACGATGCACTGGGGGAGGGAGTTGACTGCATCGTGATCACTGCCACGTTCCAACGCCAGTGCAGCTGATAGCTCTTTTAAAAAAAAAATTCTCAAGAAACAGATTCACGCCAGTGCAGCTGATAGCTCTTTTTTTTTAGAATTCTCAAGAAACAGATTCACGCCAGTGCGGCTGATAGCTCATCCAAGTACGGCTCTGCCTCTCTTGGTATGCCTCGTCTGCCATGTGGCCCTGTCACTGTTGTTGCGCCCTCACACTCATCCCCCCTTCCTCACACTCATCCCCCTCCCTCGCAATCGTCTCCCCTCCCTCACACTCATCCCCCCTCCCTCACACTCATCCCCCCTCCCTCACGCTCATTCCTCCTCCCTTTCTCACTCACAGCGGTGGATAGGGGCTGGTTCATGGCAGTGGGGATCCGGATAGAGAACACAGCAGGGCCACGTGGCAAGCAGGCAGTGGCTCTCAAGATCTCCGCCGACCGCTCTGCCATCTACGACAGCGCCATCACGGGTTACCAGGACACGCTCTGTGTGGACGCATACTCCTCCCTCCACCTGCCTCCCCATGACTCCCCTCCTGGCTCCCCTGGTGCTGAGGGTTCTTTTAAGAATCCTCAAAAAAACCCTACTCCACCTGCCTCCCCATGATTCCCCTCCTGGCTCCCCTGGTGCTGTAGGGTTTTTTTAAAGAATTCTCAAAAAAACCCTACTCCACCTGCCTCCCCATGACTCCCCTCCTGGCTCCCCTGGGACACGCTCCGTCTATGACAGCGCAATCACGGGCTATCGGGACACGCTCTGTGTGGACGCCGGGGAAGGAAAAAGTTCAGATTACTGCAACAGCTGTCACACCTGCAGCCTCACTCATGCCTCCTCCCTCCCCTCTCCTCTCTCACACCCTCCCACTGGCAGCTGTGGACCGAGGCAACTTTATGGCAGTGGGGATCCGGATAGAGAACACAGCAGGGCCACGTGGCAAGCAGGCAGTGGCTCTCAAGATCTCCGCCGACCGGTCCGCTGTCTAGGACAGCGCGATAACGGGTTGCCAGGACACGCTCTGTGTGGACGCCGGGCGGCAGTACTACAGCAGCTGTTACATCTCGGGATTCACGGATTTCATCTTTGGCGATGCGGCCGCGCTGATCGACCGATCGACGGTGGAGATGCGCTCGGGGAAATCGACGGCTGTGATCACGGCGTCCGGGAGGGAGAGTAACACCCCCACGGGGATTGTGATTCGCGGGTGTAATGTGACTGCGGGGGAGGGGGTAAAGGAGGGATCGTTTGCGCGGCCGTGGAAAAATTGCGCTCGGGTGGTGATGATCGGCAATTACCTTCCAAAGGTGAGTTTTCTCACTCTTTTCTCTTGCGGATTTAGGCCCTTGAGTCGTCTCAGAACCAGGGCGTGGATGCTCTGTGCACGGGTGGTGGTGATGATCGGCAATTACCTGCCTGCGGTGAGTGTGGTGGCGAGTCTGCAGCAGGCACAGTGACTGCGGTCATTTTGCCATCCATTCAGTCTTTCGAAGCATCTCAAAGCCAGGCCAGGCCGTGCAGGGTCAGTGCCTCCGAGGCAGCCCGTGGAAGCTCTGTGCAGGGTCAGTCCCCTTGCCGGGACTGCAGCTCCAGTCCCCTTGCCGGGACTGCAGCTCCAGTCCCCTTGCCGGGACTGCAGCTCCAGTCCCCTTGCCGGGACTGCAGCTCCAGTCCCCTTGCTGGGACTGCAGCTCCAGTCCCCTTGCCGGGACTGCAGCTCCAGGCAACGCAGCTGTGCCGAGACCGGCAGCTCTGGCCGCGGTGCCCCTCGCGCTGTTCACATTCTGTCTGTAACCCCATGCACATTCTGTCTGTAACCCCATGCACATTCTGTCTGTAACCCCATGCACATTCTGTCTGTAACCCCATGCACATTCTGTCTGTAACCCCATGCACATTCTGACCGTACCCCCATACACATCCCTGGCCAGAGCATGCAGGGAGCAGGGTGGAGCACGTGGAATGGCGACCCACGGGGCGACTGTGTCTACTATGCCGAGACCGGCAGCTCTGGCCCCGGTGCCCCTCGCGCTGCTGCTGCTGATGCCGCTGGTGCTGCTGGTGTTGGTGGGAAAGGCGCTGCTGCTGCTGCTGCTGCTGCTGCTGCTGCTGCAGCAGCCGGGAGAGCCTCATGGGCAAAGCCTGGCTTGGTGCCTTGGTCTCGGCCTCACTGCCCTCAATATTTTCTAGGCAGGGGAATGTAGAGATCCATATGAGCCATCCCTCTTTTGCAGTGCTGGGGAAAGGAGAAGATAACATACTCAATTTATTGATTGTATATGATGTATACTCTAATGTGTATAATGTAATGGACGATAAATTTTGTTGATACAATGTATTTTTGCAGATATCCATTGACAGATGTGATGGTGATGGTATCAATACCAGAGGTACCTACACAAGTTGTGAACAATGTTACTTTGAGCGAAATATAAGCTTGTATTACATGTACCACTGGAGATCAGATTCGCATCAAAGAATAACAACGAATCACTTTCCGTCGAACGCGCTGGGTTGATCAATGTGCAGTACACAGAGGGGCTAATTCCACCAATCAATGTCAAATCGTCGGGTCGCGCAAGCGAGGCGCGCATGTTCTTGTGGCATTGGGGCAAGGCGGAGCCGCGCTTCCACACACAGCGTCTCAAGCATGTGTGCAGTAGGGGGTGGTTGGAAAGGAGGTAGGTCAGTCTCGGCCTAACGAACCATGCTGTTGCCCCCGTTATCCTCTCCTCCTACTAAAACTAGCCAGCTAACTCGACTCGAATGGGGAGGAGAGATCTTTTAGAGGCTTACTTCATCTCCCACGCACCGTTCAGATGCTGCATTGTCGACAGCCAATCAGAGCAGACACGCGAAGCGAAGTGCTTGACAACGAGTAATTCTTGACTCTTGACATGTTCTCGGCTCGAGTGCGACACGCGCCGTATGCGATGCCCCAGCACACTGGTGCTATCAGTCTCACGCGTAGAGCCCCTCGCTGTTTACGATTACGAGAAGTTCAGCAAGTACGACAAGTACGGTTCGGCATAACTTACTCGACATTTTGAATGCGCCCGCGAACCGGAGTAGAGATCGGCCACCGCCTCTCTTGCAATCACAATGTTTCTCACCTTAATGCTATAGATTAACTCAGCGTGGAACCAGACACGTCAGCGTCTAGTAAAAAAGGACGCATGGAGCAGCTCGCTCCCCGTTTAGCAATAGCCGTTTTTCTTTCCGTGGCCGCCGCTGCCACGTGGCACGTTCTAGACAACTTCTTGGTTATTACCCCTCCGGCGGGATGCGCGGGGCCCGCGGGGTCTCCGCGGATTGCGGAGTGCGTGGCGGAGTTCCGCAGCGCGCGGCGGTCGCTGGGCGTGATGCCGCAGCAGCAACAGGACGTCACAGCAGCCATGCTCGTGCGGGTCGAGGTGCAGGTGAGAGCAACGCGCAACGAAGCGAGTACAAGTGAAACGCGACTGCCTGGTAACCGGACAATATCGTCAACATGTCGCTCCAATTCCCATGTGCTATGTGCGTGTCTCGCCAGGTGCACGGCATGATGCGGGTGGTGAGGCGGCTTCAAGCGAGTAATATCTCCAGCTTCACGCCTAGTCAGCAGCACTTCATCCGAGCTGTCTCAGATGACTGCCTTGAGCAGGTATGACTGCGTTGCCTTAGTTCCTATCGAGCTCGAATCACCGCCATTTTCCCTGCCACCGCCTTTCCACCCTTCCCCCACCCTTCCCACCCCTCTCTTCTACTCATATGACGTGATCCTCACCATCCCTCTCTTCCTCATTTCCCCTCCCCAATCACCGCCTCGTCCGCCAGGGCGCGGACGCGGCGGAGGAGGTGCGCGAGGCATACCTGGAGCTGCGCGCGGGGCCCCGCGGGGACGACTTGCGCTTCCAGCTGGCGGCGATCAAAACGAAACTCAGTAACTGCGTTACCGGGTTCGCCGAGTTCGCACCCGGAGTCCTCAAGACAGAACTCGGAGCCATTCTTGCGGTATGGGTCATATGGGGGATACTGGGCATGTGGGGGCGTGTGGAAACAAGTTTGGGGCATGTGGACGTTTTTTGGTTGCTTCTAAGATGCGGTGAACGCCTGTGCTAAGGCTCCCTGTTAGAATGCATTCGTGTCGCTTCGTACAATTGAACATCTCATATCTATTCTCATGCTGGGCGCTTCGCAGATGGGAACTGCACAAGTGAAGTCCACCGTAAACGCCGCCGTCACAATCGCGTCAGCCTATAGAGGGTACGGTACTCTCGCGCGAGGGCAGCAGAGCAACCGCCAGCAGGTGGCGCAAACGGTCGGCATGCGCGCAGGACAAGCGGGGGCGGGTTTGCGCCGGCCAGTGCTGTACCCCGCTCAACAATCCGCGGGGCTGCGGCCATGGCAGGCGCGGCAAAGTGGTCAAACGGCGCAGGCGGGGCTGCGCCCCATACAGGCGGGGCAGACGGGCCAAGCGGAGCAGTCCGAGCAGGCAGGGAAGCTGGGGCAGGCGGCGCAAGGGGGGCAGGTGGGGCTGCGCCCAACACAGGCAGGGCAGTTGGGTCAAGGGGGGAAAGCTGGGCTGCGCCCTACACAGGCGGGGCAGGCGGCGCAGAAGGGGCAGGCGGGGCTGCGGCCAACGCAGGCGGGACAGGCGGCGCAAGGGGCGCAGGTGGGGCAGCATCTCGCTGTACAGTATAGCACGGGGCTCCAGCCGCAAACCCCGGCGCAGCCGCAAACTGGTTACCAGGTACAAGCGCAATCGCAACAGCTCGCGTGGTCCCAGGTGCAGCCGGTGTATGACTATAACGAGTACGAGTATGACGACCCGATAGACGGAGGCAGTGACTACCCCACAGGTAGGGATAGAAGGGGTGGGCAAAATCACTTCGAAGGCGCGGAGCAACGGCCGAAATTGGTTCAGGCGCAGTCGCTGTACGAGGCGGACTTGTCTGGGTCGTACGATGTGGGTGAAAAGTCCACCCCAACCGGAGTGGGCAAAATGTCCCTTGGGAATGACGACGAGTACAATCGCGATTACAGAAGCAGTAACGACAGCGAATCTGATTACTACAGTTACGAGTACCAAGAATCGCAGCGTGCCAATAGCGGGTATGATGATCTTGATAATTCGCCCCAAGGCGGCAGCACATTTCAGCAAGCTACTGCTGATAGCAGCCACCTCTTACACATTTCTTGGGACAACATCAGTGAAGGTAATACTGATATTGGTGGTGACGGCGAGAATCCCGATTATTCGGCTAACTACTCTAATGATGCTAATTTCGCTAAGGACGTTCAAAGTAGTAGTGGAAGCGTAGGTAGCGGTTCGTACGACGACGTTGACAGTAAAACTTCACCTAACGAGGGCAGCGTTTTAGACTCTGACGGTAACGGTCGCAGTAGCAGTGTTAGCAGCGCGAATTACCGTCCGGATTCTCCGGCTACTGGCAGGAATGGCGACGACAGTGGCTCGGATTATTACGATGACGCTACTGACAATAACGGCGACATTAGCGACGGGTATGACAGCGGGTCAGACTATTACAGCGCATCAGGCGGCGGTCCAACTGATAACAACAATGGCGACGGCGGTTTAGGCAGCAACGTGAGTGGTGGTGGTCGCAGCAGTGTTACCACCGCGAGTGACGACTCAGACCCCCTTACACGTGGTAACGAAAGCGGCGATCGTGGCTCGGATTACTACGACGACGGTGGCGACAATGGCGGCGACGCTGGCAATAACGGCGACGTTAGCGATGACGTCGACGGTTACGACAGCGGATCAGACGGTGACGGCGACGGCTCCGATACGGATATTGGTCCGAGCGAGGGCTCTGGCTTGGACGGCGATGCTACTGACTTAGGTGACGGTTTCGAAAGTACTAATGCTGACATAGATTACGGTTTCGGTAGTACTACTTATGATAGTGACACAAGCGGATCAGATGACTATAGTGGTGCCGCTGCTAGTGGTAAAAGCGAAGAGAAGCCTTGGGAGTACCACGATTCGACTGGCGGTGCTACAGCCGCTGCAACCAATGCTGCTACAGTGGCTGCTACAGTCGCTGCTATTGAGGATGGCACATTGAACAACAGGGACGGAGATGGATTGGATTATAACGCTGACGCTGCTAACGCTGCTGACCGTGCTGACTTTGCTGACAATGCTGACGCGGCTGACCGTGCTGACTTTGCTGACAATGCTGACGCGGCTGACAATGCTGACTCTGCTGACGATGCCGAGGGACCTGATTCCGATGACCAACAGCGGGATTTCACAGGCACGCGAAACCGGCAGCTGCGCGCCACTGACGATGTTATCCGACAGGCTTCTCTACAGGGTGGTTACCTCAGTAGCAGTGGTGATCGTGGCGAAAGCGCGGATGGTTACCACAGTAAGGTTGGCGAAGTTGGCGAAGAAGCGGGTGGTTACCACCACCCAGAGTGGCTGGAGGCGGGGCTGTACGAACAGCTGAAGGAGCTCCAGGCGCGCATGCGCGGAGAGCACGCGCGCGCGCAGCAGTGGGCGGACAGACGGCGCAAGCTGCTGGGGCTCCCCGCGGAGACGTGGGGCAGCGACGGCGGGGAAGGGGAGGAAGGAGAGAGGGGGGCGGCAGAGGGGACGAGGAGACGAGGGTTCGGGGTGGGGCAATGGCGGAAGCGGAAGAGTGACACGTGGCGGAGACGAGGCGCGCCGCAGCGGAGGGGGCTGGAAGCGCAAGGACTACAGGCGCAAGGGCTACAGGCGCAATGGTTACAGGCGCAACAGCTACAGGCGCAAGCGCGCCCGCGGAAGAGCCTTATTCCCCTTTCCGCCTACCCCCTTTCTAGCCCCCGTTCCGTCCGTCCTCCCCCCATCCCCGCGCACCATTCAACGCAGCGCGCGCCGATCCCCCTAGCGACGACGATGGGGAAGAAAACCGCAGAACACCTCCCCACCGCGGGGCACCACTCCCCCGGAACCCTGCACCACGCGCCTGGGACGGGGCCCGCGCATAAGGAGAAGCAGCCGAACCACTGGGGGGAGGGTAAGGGGCAGGGGGGAGGGGGAGTGACGCGCGGGCACCATACGCACCTGTGGCGGAACGGGCGCAGGGGCGCGCACCACCCCGCGGGGGTGGGGCACCATAAGCACAAGTGGACGCGGAAGCGGAAGGGCGGGGGCGGGAGTGGCGGAGGGACGGGGGGAGGAGGGGGGGGCGGGACGCGCGGGTCGTTTAAGGCGGATGCTGTGGTTGGGCCGGGGGAGAAATACAACACTGTTGAGGTGAGGGGAGGGGTGGTGAGGGGAGGGATGGTGAGAGGAGGGGAGGTGAGGGGAGGGATGGTGAGAGGAGGGGAGGTGAGAGGAGGGGAGGTGAGAGGAGGGGAGGTGAGAGGAGGGGAGGTGAGAGGAGAAAAGAGGGCTAAATCTGTAAGATGATGCTGTGGTTGGCCGGGGAAGAAACACAACGCCGTGGAGGTGAGGACCGTCAGGGGAGAGGTGCGAGGAGGGGATGCGCGAGGAGGGGATGTGCGAGGAGGGAGGGGGGAGGAGGGAGGGGGAGGGAGGGAGGGAGGGGGGAGGAGGGAGGGGGGAGGAGGACGAGATGTGTGAGAGGATGCTGTGGTTGGGCTGGGGGAGAAATACATCACTGTAGAGGTGAGGGGGGGGAGGTGAACTGCCAGCCTACCTCAAGGAGGGGCGGTTTGTGATATTTGTGTGCGTGGGGATATGCTGCGAGTCGAGTTTTGGGTCGACTCAAAACTCGATTCATGTGCGTGGGGATATACTGTGAGTCCACCCCCCCCCCCCCGTCCATCCCCGCCCCTCCCCCTCCTGGCCCCTCCGCAGGGAGCGTTGGGAGCAGCGCCCAAGGAGGGGCGGTTTGTGGTATTCATCCGCGCGGGGACCTACCATGAGTCCATCATCTTCCGCAACAAGGGGCTGATCATGGTGGGGGAGGGCAGCGACAGGACGATTATCACTGGGGATAAGAGCGCCGGCAGTGGGTCGACCACATATCGCTCTGCCACCATCGGTAAGAACCAATTGATATGTACCGCACCGCACCGCACATACCATGAGTCTATCATCTTCCGCAACAAGGGGTTGATCATGGTGGGGGAGGGCAGCGATAAAACCATCATCACTGGGGATAAGAGCGCCGCCGGCAGTGGGTCGACCACTTACCGCTCCGCCACCATCGGTGAGCGGTGCATTGTTGGGAGGGGGGTATGGTGCCGCAAGGTAAGGCACGGTGCTGCATTGGAGGCACGGTGCAACAAGGGGCTGATCATGGTGGGGGGTGGCGCAGATAAAACCATCATCACGGGGGATAAGAGCGCTGGCAGCGGGTCAGCTACGTACCGCTCCGCCACCATGGGTGAGAGGCAGTTGGCATGATGTGGTGCAGGGAAGGGGGAGGCTGGAGCAAGGGACATACCTACCTGACTGAAAACCGCCTGATTGTAAGTGAGGGTGCCCAAACCTCCAACACCTGACTGAAAACCGCCTGATTGTAAGTGCCCAAACCTCCAACACCTGACTGAAAACCGCCTGATTGTAAGTGAGGGTGCCCAAACCTCCAACACCTGAGATAACCCCCATCCCCGTGTGTCCTCTCCTCCCTGTGTCCTCTCCTCCCTGTGTCCTCTCCTCCCTGTGAGTGCTTTTGAGGCGCCTCAAAAGTCACCCCCGTGTTTCCTCTCCTCCCTGTGAGTGCTCCCCCAGGTGCAAACAGGGAGCGCTTTTGTGCGCTGGCCATCCGCTTTTTCTGAGACCAATAGAGCATCCGCTTTGCCCCCGTTATGGCTTTTGTGCGCTGTGCCCGGCGCTGGGCATCCGCTTTGAACATGACCGGACTGAAGGACCGCCTCTAATAGTCTTCCCTTATCCTCGTGTGCCCTGTTATGGTGTGCCCCGTTATGGTGTGCCCCGTTATTGTGCATTGTTTCTCCCCCAGGAGCCAACAAGGAGCGGTTCTGCGCCCTGGGCATCCGCTTTGAGAACACAGCCGGGCCGCAGAAAACCACCTCGTATGGTGTCCCCCTATTCTCATGTGCCCTGTTCCCATGTGCCCCACTGTGGTGTGTTTCTGTGACTGCACCATGAGGAGCCAACAAGGAGCGTTTCTGTGCTTCAGGCATCCGCTTTGAGAACACAGCCGAGCAGAAGCATGCAAGTCTGTGACGCACTCTGTGCCTTCCCATGTGTCTCGCTATGGTGTGTCCCCTTTATGCTTGCAGGGGCCAACAAGGAGCGGTTCTGCGCTTTGGGCATTCGCTTTGAGAACACGGCCGGGCCGCAGAACCACCAGGCAGTGGCCATGAGGGCCAGTGGTGATCGCTCTGCCTTCTTCGAGTGTGCCTTCGAGGCCAACCAGGTGAGGACAACCCTCCTATTGCACCCCACTCCCCTCTCGCCCCTTCTTTGAATGCACCTTCGATCGAGGCCAACCAGGTGAGCAGCGCTCTGCTGCGTCCTCCCCTTGCCTTGAGTTGAGTTGACTTTCAAGCCGCCAGGCAGTGCCCACGAGGGAGAGTGGCCATAAGGGCCGGCAGCGACCGCTCTGCTTTCTTTGAATGCGCCTTCAAGGCCAACCAGGTGAGAACGGCCCTCGTTTCCCAGCCTGCTAGGGGTCACTGGTCACTGCTAGGGGGAAAGTACAGCTCTATCCAGGTGAGAACGGCCCTCGTTTCCCAGCCTGCTACGTTGGCGGCACCATTGGACTTAATACTCACAGATATGCTGTTCTCTTTCCCGTCTAGATACTCACCGTTTCCCGTCTTACATCTCTCCCCAGGACACGCTCTATGTGGGCGTGGGCAGGCAGTACTACAGGGACTGCTGCTGTTGACTTCATGCTCCCCTTCTCTCCTTACTCTTCCCTTCTCTTCCTCTCTCTCCGCATTCTCTTGCATCAGGACACGCTCTATGTGGACGCAGGCAGGCAGTACTACAAGGACTGTTACATCGGCGGCACCATTGACTTCATATTTGGCGATGCAGCAGTGGTGCTAGACAATCCCACCATCGTGGTGCACAAGAGCAGGTGAGGAAGAGGCGGGGAGGAGGAGGGGAGGGGGGTGCGTGCCTGAGTTCTGTGTTTGTTCATGCAGCGCCTTGAAGCTGCTGCCGTGGTGATAGACAACCCCACCATCGTGGTGCACAAGAGCAGGTGGGCAAGTGGGGGGCTGGGGGGCTTACTTCTGTTCTTGGTCTTTGTTGTCAGTCATTGAAGCATTTTTGGCGATGCAGCAGTGGTGATAGACAATCCCACCATCGTGGTGCACAAGAGCAGGTGGGCAGGAGGGGTAGGGGTGGGGGTGGGTCTCGATGACTGTGATTACAAGGACTGCTACGTGTTTTGAGTCGACTCAAAACACAACTATGGTGCGCTTTTGAGTCGACTCAAAAGTCGACTCAAAACACAACTATGGTGCAGCGATGGGGATAGACAATCCCACCATCGTCGAGCACAAGAACAGGTGAGCAACGGGGCTGAGGTCCCTGTTTATCATCATTAGCATCAACAGCATCAGCATCAGCATGAGCATGAGCATCAGCATGAGCATCAGCATCAGCACATCAGCATGTTGTGTGTTTAGTTAATCTGTGTGTTCTTGTTGTTTTCCTCCCGTTCCCCCATGTTCTCCTCTTTCTGGCACTCACGCCCCTGTTCTCATGCCCTGTCATTCCTCGCCCTTCCTCCCTTTCAGCTCCTTCGCAACCATAGCAGCATCGGGGCGGGATAGCAACACGCCGACAGGCATTGTCATTCGCACCCGCATCGCCCTGTTCCTCCCTCTCCCAACACACTCATCCCTCACACGCAGCTCCCTGTCATCTCCTCCCACGCACATATGTCGTGCGTGCGAGTGGACATTGTCATCTCCCACGCACATATGTCGTGCGCGCGAGTGGACATTGTCATCTCCTCCCACGCACATATGTTGTGCGTGCGAGTGGACATTGTCATCTCCCTGCTCCTCCCTCTCCCACCACACTCATCCCTCACACGCAGCTCGTTTGCAACTATCACAGCGTCGGGGCTGGAGAGCAACACGCCTACGGGCATGGTCATCCGCAACTGATTTGCCAACCACCCTCTACTCCCACTGCACTCTTTTCCCACTTCCCCCCTCCGCCACACCCATCACCTTGCAGCTCCTTTGCAACCATCACGGCGTCGGGCCGGGAGAGCTGCACGCCAACGGGCATTGGCATTCGCAACGCCAAGATCTCAGTTGACTCGGGCGTCTCGGAGGTCTACCTGGGGCGGCCCTCTCCCCTCACTCAACCCCCCGTTCCCCCCTTTCCGCCCTCCCCTCCCTTTCCCTCTCTCCCCCCCCCCCCCCCCCCCCCCCCCCCCCCCCCTTCAGTTCGTTTGCAACCATCACGGCATCGGGGCGGGAGAGCAACACGCCGACGGGAATCGTGATCCGCAACGCCAAGATCTCAGTTGACTCTGGGGTTTCGGAGGTCTACCTCGGCCGGCCGTGGAAGGACTGTGCTCGCACCGTGTTTGTTGACAGCTACATGCCTGCGGTGAGTCACTTCAGGCTAAACAAGTGCAGAGAGGCAGGTGTATGAGTCCTTACCATGAGTACGGACTCATCTACCTGGGGTGACTTATGAGTCGACTCAAAAGTCAACAAGTGTAGAGAGGCAGGTATATGAGTCCTTACCATGAGTAAGGACTGTGCGCACATGGTCTTTGATAATAGCTACATGCCTGCTCTGAGTCACCTCAACAGTCACAAGGCTTTGAGTCACTGCCAATGCAGGTGCCTACCCCACATACTCTCATACAGCTCATTTCTCCTTCTCACCTCGCCCTTTCTCCCCTCTGTCCTCCCCTACTAGCTGCCTGTATCACACACTTTCTTCCACACTCTGTCCTTATCTCTACCTCTCCTCTCCCCCTTTCCTTCCACACCCTATCCCACAGGAGTTGGAGCGGGACGGGTGGAGCACGTGGGGGGGAGACAGCAAGGGCAGCTGTGTGTACTATGCAGAGAAGGGCAGCACGGGGCCGGGCTATGCTGCCAGCCGAGCATCGTGGGTGCACCCTGGGATCATCTCAGACGCCTCTCAGTTTGACCCCGAGCCATTTGTCGACCTCAGCTCCTGGCTGGACGTGGCGGGGCAGAACCCCAAGTGGTGATGGGAGGGGTTGAATAGGGCTGGGTGCGGTCGGGTTGGGTGCATCCCGGCATCATCTCTGATCTGACGCGTCTCAGTTTGACCCCTAGCCGTTTGTCGACCTCAGCTCCTGGCTGGACGTCTCGGGGCAGAACCCGAAGTGGTGATGCCAGGGGTGAGGTGCGGCTGGATGGAGTTGAGTTGGGTGCCCTTTGGTGGGGTAAAATGGGGTTGGTCATTATGCGACGGGCATCTCAGCTCGTGGCTGGACATCTCGTGGCAGAACCCCAGGTGGTGATGCCAGGAGTGGGGTGTGGTTGGTTGGAGTTGGGATGGGACTCATATCATAAAGCCCATCATGGGAGCGGCTGGGCGGTGCAGTTGGGTTGGGTGGGGTTGGGTTGCTCATCTCCCAGCCCTCCAGAAATGATGGGGCCTTGTTCGAGCCTAGTGTCATTGGTGCATTCCAGTGGCTTACCGGTATCTGCTGCTCCATGGTTCCCAACAAACTCGAGCCAGTTTGCCTGATGAGCTCCTGACCTGAGGCTCAAGCCCTGCAGCTATGGTAAGGGTTAATAAGTGCATGCCAGTTTTGCCGGTCGTCGAGTGCAGAATAAGCAAGTGTAGCCAAGTATGGTATGGCTTTTGCTTGCAGAATAGAGGTGTTTAGCTTCAATGCCAGTGTCTAACTGGACAGATTGGTTGGCTGGTATGGTATGTACTAGGTATGGAAGTGGGGCGCATACCCCTGTTAGATGGAGCAACTTGCTCCTACTCAATTACTGTAGCTTTTGTATCCGTCTAATAAGGTTAAAACCATTAATTAACACAGTGCCAGTCCGAAGGCAGGGAGAATTTTCCAACTAAACACTACATTTCAGTTCACCCTATCATTGAGGGTGAGCTGAAGAGGAATCAGGGTAAGAAAGGTGGCTAGCTGGCAGAATTGCTGGAGAGGATTGTCAGGAGGGCAGACCAGACTGGATCATCTCAGCCTTTTTTACTTCAGCCACCATGTGAGCCCCAATCTCCGCTCTTCTCTTAGCTTCAGCTAAAATGCTTGATAAATCGCCCCCCTTCTCTTTGCTTTTAGCTGGCAGCGGCTCATCCTCATCGTCAGACCCTGGTAGGTCGTCATCTCCCTTCTCTAGGAAGGAAGACAGGCGAACAGGACCTTCCTCCTCCTCGCTCGCACTGCTCAAAGCATCCGAATCTTTCTTGGATTTCTTCTTTTTCTTCTTCTTCTTGTCGCTGTCTTCGTCGTCGCTGCTCAAGTTGCTTGAGTCGCTTTCAGAATCACCCTTTTTGCGCTTGCTCTTTTTCTGAAATAGTGCCACATATGATGTCAGACAATAACCATGGAGTAGTGGTGTGAGGAGAGAAACTGAGACTCAAAGAACTCTGAGAATTGGAAACAGGAACAAGGCAAAGCATGGAACTGCAGCAGAGTTCCTCACCTTCTTCTTGCTCTTATCTTTGTCCTTGCCTGCGCAAACAAATTGACAGGGTGAAAGCAACAGAACAGAAGAAGTGTATAACATCAGTGGACCATAGACATGGGATCCTTGCAAAGCTTACGTGTTAAAGACATAAACGCACTCTTTTTTAGCTTCCCGCGTTTATCCGCGTGGTTTCGTCCTCGCGACAGCCTCGCTTCTCGCTCTTTGTCCAACTGAGCCCGGTACTCCTTCATCCGCTGCTCCTCAAAACCCTCCATTTCCTGCTGCTTCCTCGCCTCTTCCTGCTCGCACAGCGCGTCGAGCCAGAAAGTACAATCATAATCAATCACAGCCTCCACTAAGGAGGTAAGGAATCTACGAAAGCTAAGCGTAGTTCTCAAATAAAGCGGAGAGTTTTGCCAGCTACGAGCAGGAATGCTGGCCATCGAACATTTGTCTATCTATGCGTAGAGCTTGGGCATACCTTTCGTTGAGCCTTCCACTCCTCCCACGTGAGCGTGTTGGTCGTCTGCAAGGCTGCCAGGCGTGCAGCATGCCATGCTGGAGAATGGAAGGATCCATCAATCTGCCAATGGCTGAATTAGTAATCCGTCGTTCCATAAATTAACGCAACGTACGAAAAGGAGAACAACGAGAACCGATAGCACATAAGAGAGCTAGGGAATGCAGCACACCAGGTGCAAACATCATTACCATTCCATCATTGCTCTCCTCGTCGCCGCCACCACCGCCACCCCCACGGCTCATCGACTTGGCTCGTTGCGCCGCCTTGTACTGCTGATTCTTCCCCATCCTCGCTAACTCTAAAAAAGAAACTGGAAAGCGAGGCTAACCTAAGCAAGAAGCTGCTGTCAGATTCACTCCTAAAAAATTAACCAATAGTCAGTTAAGTACACGAAGGATTCTCTGCTACATCTTCCAGTAACCCTAACGACTGTCGCGGCAAGTCACCGTCAACGAAGCGCTGTTAACTACCGTCCCTAGTGACCTGCGCGTGTCTCGCTCAACCAAACATCCCAACCCAACAACCCACCAAACAAAAAGCAAGAACGCGTGAGCTTGCTTGCCCTGTCGCTTGGTTTGCTTGCTGGCAACAACCACCGCAGCAACTCGGCAAGGCAAAACCCGACCGAAGATTCAGGGAGGGAAATTGAGGTTGCTTCTAGAAACAATCAATTCGTTTCAGTTCTAGCTTCAGGTTTTCAGAACAAGCAGTTTCACAGCATCAGTTTCAAGTTAGCCATATATTTATAACAACTTCACACACACAAGCAGGAAGGTGATGGAGACAATTTATATCTTTGAAGTTTAATCTCGAAAAAAAATCCAATACTCGGGTGCTTATAAGTACATGGCAAAACCTACTCATCACTTTGAAAATATTACATATACCTATATGTTTTGCATGCATGTACCTAATGATTCACTTCATTGTGCACTCTATTTGTGGATGTGTATATCAATGACTAGCATTACCAGTGAAGGCAAAAGGGTTTATCTCTGGTAATCATGCACCATACCTTCGTAATGGCTGATTCGCTAGGTGGATAATTTGAGGGCCGAAACACGCATTTTGCCATGCTTTCGGTGAGCTACTGTACCTGGCGGTCCCTTATCCTCAACAAATGGACAGGATCAAGGCGACTGACAAGGAACCGACGTGGCTGGGAAATGTGCTTGACGCTGTGCCTTTCCAGATGCCAAGCTTCACTTGCGGCTACAATAGAACCGAGTGTTACGTGTTCACGGCTACCTCTGACCACGAGCTAGCACGCTCAGCAAAATATCTCGATTCTTATTGGCCAGCCGCAGAATTCTGACTGTGCGCCACTAGATTTTCGAACGGACTTGAACTCGTGGTTGTCGTTGAAGTTGTTGGTAACGAGTCCAGGAAGGCGTGTATGTGACTCTACTTGACATCATGGTGACCTGGCTGCTTATAACACTATTGCTACACTTTCCACGTAGACAGTCCCAGCTGATTGGAAGCTTTGTCGGTGATCCGCGACGTGTGGATCAGCAGGACTCAGCTGCACGCTAAACACGTCGATCTGAGGCAGATCATGGGACCACTGACGACTTTCCCGCATCTGTGCTGGCTCACTTGATCGTCACCATTAACTCATTCGCAACCCTCACGGTGCTGACGTGGCCCTTCCGAGCTCAGTGGAAGTTGGGATCACCACGTCGACATCTGCACATCCCCAAGATGTGGTGTCCGCATCAGGTAAGGCAATGTTCCGTTATCGTCTTCCGTCCAATCCAATGCTGATCCACAGTGGTTGCTCTTCCATCCCTTCTCTTTTCCCTCCATCCACTTGGCACCGCGATCTCTGGCTGACTAGCCTACCTCCCTCGCGATTCGCCCGTCCGGTTGCGGAAAGGGGAACGAGCAATCCCAAGCCAGGGAAAAACAGCCCAAGCCAGCGGAAACCTGGAAGTTGGGAGAAAGGGATGACGGATGAGGCGGATGAGATGGTTCGGGAGGTGGTTTGGAAGGAAGTAGATCACTCGACGGGAAACCAGAAGGGTTCGGGAGGGGTAGGAGAGGGAACGAACTAGAGGAAACATCTCTAACTCCTTTGTATTCCACCGTATTTCTCTACTCACTGTGTATCCTATCCATCCGTCACTCACCTGCGCATCGCCCCTCCTCCGCACCGCGACCGCATCTCGTCCAACACCAACAGCTGGAGTGGAGAGAGAAGACTGCATCAGAGCATTTCCGCTGCAGATGCAACAGCATTCCACGGATCATTTTTCTAGCATTTCAACTTCGTTGTTTCCTTACACGTCAAGTAAAGCACACCTCGTCGGAGCCTCCGTTTAGATTAGACACCTTAATGTGCGTTATGCTCTTTACGACCCAGTCTATCTTCTCCTATCACGTACTCGCGCGACAATGGATCACCTTACTGCGACGTGCAAAAAGCAAGAGAATTTCCTGACATCCGCAAGCGAAATTACACAAGTCTCTCACACCTCACCCACTCGGTCTGCCGCCTCGTGCTTGGCTCCATTCTGTAGCACGAACAGCCAGCAGCCATGCGAATGCGTGCACTCCGCTTTCCAGTTCTTCCCAACCACGCCCGTCCGGGACCCTCCCTCCCCTCGTTCCACCCCCGCGTCTCCCAACCACTGCAGCCCTCCCGCTCCTCTCGCTCCAATTGCTGACGTGGCTGCCACAGCCGTCCCCATTAAGCTTAGTCTATGGCACACTTTCGACTCAGACGCGATTAAAGACAAAGCCGACAACGACGGACAGGCACCCAAAAGCATTGACGCTCAGATTGTTGCGGTATCGCCTCGCGCCGCGTCAACTACTGTCGCAGCGCCGTGTCGCCAGAAGCGAAGCCCCAGTAAGGAGCAGCCGGAACCAGAAGCGAGAATTAAGGCTTTAAAGACACGGGAAAAAAAAGACGCGGCAGAGGCGGTGCCGGTGCCGGTACTCGAAAGGAAACCGGTTAGCATCCAGCCTGCTCCCGCTCTCCCAACTACTGCGACTCTTATCCCTTCGCTTCTACCCGCTGGGAGCCGTGGCATGCCGGCTTTACCGCCCGTGCCGGCCGCAGGCACCTGGTGGGGGCCGTTTGTTCCCTTCCCGCCTCCCCTCGTGCCGCTACAGCAGCAGAAACAGCTGCTATCGCAACAACCACCGCAGCAGCCGCCGCAGCGACCGCTACAGCAGTCAATTCAGCATCAAGCATTTCAACAGCAGCTGCAGCAACGACTTCAGCATGTGTCCCCTGCCATGCAGCCATACGTCTACTTCTGCCCGCCTCCAGCCAACCCCTGCGCATCCGCCGCCGCAGATGCCGCTTCGTGGAACCAGCACCTTTCTCGGATGCCGCCGCCGCCGCCGCCGCTGGCGCCGCTAGTTCCGCTGGCTCCGAGCTCCCCGCCCCGCGCGGACGTTCCGAAAGAGCAGCAGCCCTTTGCGGGGAAACCTGCGCTTCCTTCCGCAGCAGTCGGCGGAAGTTCCGGTTTCCGCCCGTGGAAGCAGCTCAAGGACCCTCGTGAGACCGCTTCCGCTGATTCCTCCCCCGTGCATCCGGGCCCCGCTAGCGCCTCGGCGGAGTCATGCCACGTCACCAGTCCGTATCTCACGCCCTTCTCAGCCCAATTTCCGCAAGCCGCTCAAGGTCTGGGTTTGGCGCACCTCCCTGCGCGGCCGTCCCCTCTCCCCATGTGTGGCGTTCCGCCGACGATTGCGCCCGGTATGGCTGCGCGGATGATCTCTGGAGCGGGCCTCGGCGGAGCCGGATGCCCCCAGTTTCCGCCGTTTGGGTGGCCTTTCCCCGGGTATGGGGAAGTGGCGGCGAGTATGAGGCCGAGCTCTCTCATGGCGTTAGAAGGGCATGCGTGTATAGGGGATAAGAGACGGCTGGGAGACGGGAAGGCGGATGCCGGAGACGAAGACACCCACGCGCGGAAGCGGCGCAGGCGGAGGGGTGGCGCGGAGCACACAGTAAGCGGAGAGGGCGCGGAGGTTGGGGGGGGCCACGGCGCCCATCACGACAGGGGAAGCGTGGGGGAATCGGGGGAGGGCGCGGAACGGGGGGGGCATGGGAAAGGGGAGGCGGGGGAGGAGAAGGAGTGCAGTAACTGCGGCACGCACACGACGCCGTTCTGGCGGAAGGACAGGGCGGGCGGAGGGCAACACCTGTGCAACGCGTGTGGGCTGTACCTTGCTAAGAACGACGCCCCGAGACCCGCTGTACTGTGGAAACGAGGTGAGCACCGCGAATGAATGTTCAGGAGAGGATAAGAAGTAGCATAGAAAAAAGCTGGTGAATGATGTAGGCTTTTAATTATTTCTGCCAATAAAAAACATGTAAATATAATGAAACTCATCATTGCATTCATGTGTCCAATGTTTTAACCTCCACATTCTCCCTCTCTATGCCTGTCCCCCCTTCCCTCCCCATAACAGATGCACATGGTTCTCACGACACGGCATCACATGACTCTCCTCTCCGTGAGGCAACAAGGCATAACGCATCCCACGCTCCTCTGCCACACCATCCCTCCCACTCTCTTCCCGATGCTACTGCTGCTGCGGCTGCTGTTGCTCCTGCTGCTGGTGGTCCTGGTGGTGCCTCTGCTGTTGTTCCTGCTGCTGGTGCTTATGCGGCTTCGCTCGTGGCCCATCTCCCAGCTGCTGTTGCTGCTCCACACAGCAACCACGTCTCACCTGCTCTCGTCCCTCCACCTCCTGCTGTTCACTGAACACTCTGTTCCTGTTGCCGTGGCTGCTGGTGCTCCCTTCCGCGGCTGCTGCTGCAGCTGGTCCTGGCCTCCTGCTGTTCACTGAACACCTCACACACCACTTCTCTCTCTGCTGTACCGACTGCTGCACTCACTGTGACTCCCTTCTTGAACCGCCTCTCCTCTCCTCTGCTCCTGCAGTACCTAGCACATTCACTTTGTTCTTCTGCTTGTAGCTCTGCATTCTCCTGATCTTGAGCGTATGGAGTTTCTAGCCAGGGCTGCACTGTTTTAGTTAGGAAAAGCCTACAGAAGACCTGCCATATGTACACTAGGGCCAGTGAGCAGTGTATATATTATCCATGTAGATTGCCCAATACCTCTGGATTCCGTTCCGCTGCTTTCTTAGAATTTGAATCAACCAACGTTGCACAAAGAACAACAGATCAGTCCACATCCTGGTAGAACAACTTCCACACGAGGTGAACTTGCATGATTTAGACGCCCCTATATTATGCATCTGGAGAAATGCATTTAGGGCCCTATGCATGTAGCACATTACAACGATCTTCAATCGATACTGGTATGGTACGACCGGTACATCAGCAGTTTGCAAGGACTGGAATGTTAAGAAAGTACACAAATGGGAGATCAATTCACGGCAGACGCCCAAGGCAGATACTCTGTTGGCCCAGGTCAGGTCTTCTGTTGGCCCAGGTCAGGTCTCCTGTTGGCCCAGAAATTGCGCTGGCCCATGTCCTTTTGTTGGGGTACGTCATACCAAACAAGACACCATGTCACAACACACCGTACCAAACCATACAACACCATGACAAACCACACCATACCATAACATACCAGAGTTACAGAGTATGCACCATACCATACTTAGTACCATACCAAACCAGACCATACAACCTACAACACCATTAGCAAACAACCAACCCCCAACCCCAAACCACACATCTACCAACCAAACCACCCCTCCGACCAGACCACAAACCATCCACCGAACCATACACCCACCAACCCACAAACCACCCACCCAACTACACACCCAACCTACCAGAACCACCCATCCTACCCACACACCACCATCCCAACCCCCCACTCACACACCCACCCACCACTACCACCACCACCTTACGTCTGACTCCGCCCTTGGGGTTCCAGCCCCTTTCCTCACACATACACACCCTCGAAGCTTCACCCTTTTTCCCTCACACTCACCCACCCTTTCAACTTCGGACACCTTCCCTCTCACTCACCCACTCTTGGGGTTTCCACCCCCTTCCTTTCCACTCCACACCCAAGGGGTTTCAACCCCATTCAACCCCATTCCACCCCAACCTTGGGGGTTTCAGCCTCTTTCTGTCTCACTCACCCACCCTTGGGGTTTCAACCCCCTTGCCCAAGGGGTTTCAGTCCCTTTCTCTTCCGCTCACGCACCCAAGGGGTTTCAACTCCCTTCTATTCCACCCACACACACCAGGGGTTTCAGCCCCACTTTTCAGCCCCACTCACCCAAGGGGGATTCAGCCCCATTCCCTTCCACGGGGTTTCACACCCCCCTCCCTTCCACTCAACCACCAACGGGGTTTCAAACACCCCTCCCTTCCACTCACCCACCCAAGGGGTTTCAGGCCCCCCTCCCTTCCACTCACCCACCCAAGGGGTTTCAGGCCCCTTTCCCTTCCACTCACCCACCCAAGGGGTTTCAGGCCCCTTTCCCTTCCACTCACCCACCCAAGGGGTTTCAGGCCCCTTTCCCTTCCACTCACTCACCCAAGGGGTTTCAGGCCCTTTTCCCTTCCACTCACCCACCCAAGGGGTTTCAGGCCCCTTTCCCTTGCACTCACCCACCCAAGGGGTTTCAGGCCCCTTTCCCTTCCACTCACTCACCCAAGGGGTTTCAGGCCCCTTTCCCTTCCACTCACCCACCCAAAGGGGTTTCAGGCCCCTTTCCCTTCCACTCACCCACCCAAGGGGTTTCAGGCCCCTTTCCCTTCCACTCACCCACCCAAGGGGTTTCAGGCCCCTTTCCCTTCCACTCACCCACCCAAGGGGTTTCAGGCCCCTTTCCCTTCCACTCACCCACCCAAGGGGTTTCAGGCCCCTTTCCCTTCCACTCACCCACCCAAGGGGTTTCAGGTCCCTTTCCCTTCCACTCACCCACCCAAGGGGTTTCAGGCCCCTTTCCCTTCCACTCACCCACACAAGGGGTTTCAGGCCCCTTTCCCTTCCACTCACCCACCCAAGGGGTTTCAGGCCCCTTTCCCTTCCACTCACCCACCCAAGGGGTTTCAGGCCCCTTCCCCTTCCACTCACCCACCCAAGGGGTTTCAGGCCCCTTTCCCTTCCACTCACCCACCCAAGGGGTTTCAGACCCCTTTCCCTTCCACTCACCCACCCAAGGGGTTTCAGGCCCCTTTCCCTTCCACTCACCCAACCAAGGGGTTTCAGGCCCCTTTCCCTTCCACTCACCCACCCAAGGGGTTTCAGGCCCCTTTCCCTTCCATTCATCAACCCAAGGGGTTTCAGGCCCCTTTCCCTTCCACTCACCCACCCAAGGGGTTTCAGGCCCCTTTCCCTTCCACTCACCCACCCAAGGGGTTTCAGGCCCCTTTCCCTTCCACTCACCCACCCAAGGGGACTCAGCCCTTTTCCCTTCCACTCACCCACCCAAGGGGACTCAGCCCCTCTCACTTGCACTCACCCATCCAAGGGGACTCAGCCCCTTTCACTTGCACTCACCCACCCAAGGGGTGTCAAGCCCCTTTCCCTTCAACTCACCCACCCAAGGGGACTCAGCCCCTTTCACTTGCACTCACCCATCCAAGGGGACTCAGCCCCTTTCACTTGCACTCACCCACCCAAGGGGTGTCAAGCCCCTTTCCCTTCAACTCACCCACCCAAGGGGACTCAGCCCCTTTCACTTGCACTCACCCATCCAAGGGGACTCAGCCCCTTTCACTTGCACTCACCCACCCAAGGGGTTTCAAGCCCCTTTCCCTTCCACTCACCCACCCAAGGGGACTCAGCCCCTTTCCCTTCCACTCACCCACCCAAGGGGACTCAGCCCCTTTCACTTGCACTCACCCACCCAAGGGGACTCAGCCCCTCTCACTTGCTCTCACCCACCCAAGGGGACTCAGCCCCTTTCACTTGCACTCACCCACCCAAGGGGACTCAGTCCCTTTCACTTGCACTCACCCACCCAAGAGGACTCAGCCCCTCTCACTTGCTCTCACCCACCCAAGGGGACTCAGCCCCTCTCACTTGCTCTCACCCACCCAAGGGGACTCAGCCCCTTTCACTTGCACTCACCCACCCAAGGGGACTCAGTCCCTTTCACTTGCACTCACCCACCCAAGAGGACTCAGCCCCTCTCACTTGCTCTCACCCACCCAAGGGGACTCAGCCCCTCTCACTTGCTCTCACCCACCCAAGGGGACTCAGCCCCTCTCACTTGCTCTCACCCACCCAAGGGGACTCAGCCCCTTTCACCCACTCGCGCATCATGCAAGGGTGGCATCAGTGCAACTCATCATGTGCCACCAACAACAGGTGGCATCAGTGCGACTCATCATGTGCCACCAACAACAGGTGGCATCAGTGCAACTCATCATACGCCACCAACAACAGGTGGCATCAGTGCAACTCAGCATGTGCCACCAACAACAGGTGGCATCAGTGCAACTCATCATGTGCCACCAACAACAGGTGGCATCAGTGCAACTCATCATGTGCCACCAACAACAGGTGGCATCAGTGCGACTCATCCAGCGCAAGACTCAAATCCCACCACTGACGTAGCTAGAGCTGACGCGAACCAGAGCCGCCGGCCGGTCGGCTCTGACGGTGCCCATTAAGCCTTAACGTCAGGTTAGTTACTTGAGCACCGAGTGCCGGGCCGCATAGATTCCACCCACCACACCCCAACTCACAAAGCACAACCCCAGAGGATGCTGCCCCTAAGGCAGTGAACTCCCCGCTTGCTTCCATGCTCCCAACCCTCCCTCCCCACACTTCACCCCCATGCGTACTTACCTGTACGTACCACAGCCGTGCAGAGCGCCATGATGCTGAGGCCATGGGGAGGAGTGAAAACCAAGGAGGAGGAGGCGACACCAGGGGAGAGGAGTGAAAACCAAGGAGGAGGAGGCGACACCAGGGGAGAGGAGTGAAAACCAAGGAGGAGGAGGAGACACCAGGGGAGAGGAGTGAAAACCAAGGAGGAGGAGGCGACACCAGGGGAGAGGAGTGAAAACCAAGGAGGAGGAGGCGACACCAGGGGAGAGGAGTGAAAACCAAAGAGGAGGAGGAGACACCAGGGGAGAGGAGTGAAAACCAAGGAGGAGGAGGAGACACCAGGGGAGAGGAGTGAAAACCAAGGAGGAGGAGGAGACACCAGGGGAGAGGAGTGAAAACCAAGGAGGAGGAGACACCAGGGGAGAGGAGTGAAAACCAAGGAGGAGGAGACACCAGGGGAGAGGAGTCAAAACCAAGGAGGAGGAGGAGACACCAGGGGAGAGGAGTGAAAACCAAGGAGGAGGAGGAGACACCAGGGGAGAGGAGTGAAAACCAAGGAGGAGGAGGAGACACCAGGGGAGAGGAGTGAAAACCAAGGAGGAGGAGGAGACACCAGGGGAGAGGAGTCAAAACCAAGGAGGAGGAGGAGGAGACACCAGGGGAGAGGAGTGAAAACCAAGGAGGAGGAGGCGACACCAGGGGAGAGGAGTCAAAACCAAGGAGGAGGAGGAGACACCAGGGGAGAGGAGTGAAAACCAAGGAGGAGGAGGCGACACCAGGGGAGAGGAGTGAAAACCAAGGAGGAGGAGGAGACACCAGGGGAGAGGAGTCAAAACCAAGGAGGAGGAGGTGACACCAGGGGAGAGGAGTCAAAACCAAGGAGGAGGAGGAGACACCAGGGGAGAGGAGTCAAAACCAAGGAGGAGGAGGAGACACCAGGGGAGAGGAGTCAAAACCAAGGAGGAGGAGGAGACACCAGGGGAGAGGAGTGAAAACCAAGGAGGAGGAGGAGACACCAGGGGAGAGGAGTCAAAACCAAGGAGGAGGAGGAGACAAGACAAATGAAGGAGGAGATGCACCAACGTGGAAAACAATTGAACGAATCACATGATGACAGGAGAGAGAGGGTTGCGGAAAGTGGGGCAGGGCGGGGTACTTAGCTTTGGGTGGGTTGGGTGGAGAGCAGCAGATGCCTTTGCACTCCATGTCCCCCACCACTGCCACTCCCAACAACTTCGCCATGTTACGAAGCGCGGACGACGATTTTGCCACGCGACGACGCGCGAACAGAGATATCTCCGTGCGACGACGCGCGGACGACGATTTCGCCATGCGACGACGCGCGGACAGAGATTTCTCCGTGCGACAACGCGCAGACGACGATTCCGCCGTGCGACGAAGCGCGGCCGACGATTTCGCCACACGACGACGCGCGGACAGAGATTTCTCCGTGCGACGACGCGCGGACGACGATTCCGCCGTGCGACGAAGCGCGGACGACGATTCCGCCGTGCGACGAAGCGCGGACGACGATTTCACCACGCGACGACGCGCGGACAGAGATTTCTCCGTGCGACGACGCGCGGACGACGATTCCGCCGTGCGACGAAGCGCGGACGACGATTCCGCTGTGCGACGAAGCGCGGACGACGATTTCACCACGCGACGACGCGCGGACAGAGATTTCTCCGTGCGACGACGCGCAGACGACGATTCCGCCGTGCGACGAAGCGCGGACGACGATTCCGCCGTGCGACGAAGCGCGGACGACGATTTCGCCACGCGACGACGCGCGGACAGAGATTTCTCCGTGCGACGACGCGCAGACGACGATTCCGCCGTGCGACGAAGCGCGGACGACGATTTTGCCACGCGACGACGCGCAGACAGAGATTTCTCCGTGCGACGACGCGCAGCAGACGACGATTCCGCCGTGCGACGAAGCGTGGACGACGATTCCGCCGTGCGATGAAGCGCGGATGACGGACTCGTTGTCCAATTTCGATGCACGCTGCCCTGATAGCGTCGACAGTCGCATCCCTGGAAGTGGAAAACGAAGAATAACGGGGAGTGACGGTTTCGAGTGTGAAAAAAAAAAAGAGGCTCAGGTCGCGGTGCAACGAATGCAGCTCAGCGCCACGCAGCAAAGGAAGTGTGACGAGTCGTAGGGATGCGAGAAACGATTACGGGAAGCCAGCGGAGCAACAGGTAAAGCGGTCTAGAAACGTCTCACATAACGTAAATCGTACCGAAGCATTCGCGGAGATCGTTAGGACGTGCGCGAAGAGTGATCGCCGGACGGACGAGGCAAGGATCAACGTCCGTCGCATAGGGATGAGGAACTGCGTCGCCTCGACGGCACGCGTTTGGTTGCGCAGGCGCATCTGGCATGGGCGAGACAACACGTGCAAATCAGGAACGGAGAATCTGACGCGTGCGACCGCGAATCGTGAACTTGACGAAACGAAAATCATACAAAGCCGAGCAGGCGAAGAGATATCAGCGAATTGGAAGACTAACCTTGTCGGACTAACTTTCCAAGAATCATCACTTCGCCGTCTCGACAGCACGGAGAGAACTCATCCCCGCCGGAAACGCTACCGTGGGAAACGCAGTTACCGAGCAATCACCAGCTATCGACAGGAAAAACAAATCGCCGCGAGGGAGAGAAAACTGCCGCGAGGAAGCTAATCGCCAGCGAGGACGAAACTAGCAGCCGCAAGGAGCGAACGCCGTCGTGATGGATAGTGGCGAGTCAGAAGTACATGTCGTCATAACCAAGTGGAGAGGTTAAGGCTAGATTGAAAGGAAGCGCAGGCAGAGATGTTTGAGTTGGAAGAAATGGAGAACAGAGGAGATTGTGCACAAAGGGAAGCATTGGGGAATGGTTGCAGCAATGCAAATGGTTGTGCAGAACGAGTTGCGCCTGCTGGGTTGCGAGGGGACTCTCCTGCACTGCAAATTGCAATCGATCGACATGCTCGTTAACTATGTTAAGTGCGGTTGAGATGGTTGCCGAATGGGTTTGGCTATGTTCTTCGTCTGGTACCTCCCAGTTTCCACAGGGTCGCTGTTGGAAGCGTTCAGCACGGCCCAGAGTTATCCCGACCAATCCCAAGGTGGGCCAAGCGGCGGAGGAGGAAGCACCGCCGACAAGATTCGTACCCGCGCTTTTCCGCGAGCGTGCATGATTTCAGACAAACGGTCCACTGACGACATCCAGGTCCCTCATGCGAAATAGCATTGGCGACGTGTTGGTCGTTTCGCTTATGAGAACGAAGCAGTATTTCTACGGGACGATAGACTTCAGAAGTTCGCGAATATCGCCGTTCCCGGCCGGGGATTTTGCGGGCTTGTGGATACGCTCCCCCCAAAAGCCTGACACAACACTGAATGTGCGCAAATCCGAGGGTTTTGCGGAGCGCAGTTGAAGGCTGGGCTGCTGCTCCAACGGATTGGCTGCGGTCAGAGCAATTGGAGGGAAGATTGCGGAAGTGCATGAAATTTCTGATCTGACACCCTCAGCATTGCCCTAGAGATCATCGTGATCCAACGGACAATGTGAATTCTCGCAGAGCATGTCAGAGTCAACACTGGGGCGTCGGGACTTCGGTATGGTTCAAATCGTCTTCGGTGTTAGCATCACTCCTTTTTGGAAGCTTCACTACACGGAAGCATAGACCAGAAAATATATAGCATCGCTTCTGCTGGTAAGCATTTGGTGATTGTATGCAACGAAATCCAAAGAAACAGTTTTCTGTTGTGCAGCCACTTCGGTCAAACACGTGGCCATGATTTTTTGCGGGGCAGTTTGAAAAGGCGTGTGCTTACCGACCACCACCCCTCTGGAATAAGATATCTCCTACCTGTCCTTCGGACACTCTGACTGGTCAAACATCCGATTCCACGAATCACACGGCTGCAACCATCATCCGGTCCGGAATGAAGCTGATGACCCACGGTGGGAGCATCTTGTAGCTTGGTAGGCTGGTGGGGAGATCCCTCGATAAAGTGCCATCCAGCACCAATAAGTGCTGGTCGCGGAAAGAAGCAGAAGCCAACCCCAATGATCTCTCCATTAAGTGGCCCCATCCCATATAACCGCATCCCACCGCCAAGCATCCCGTTTCCTTCTCATCACAACACCTTCCCTTGAGAGCTCCGCTTCCTTTTCAGCATCATCCAATTCTCGCTTCTCTCACACACGAAAACATGATCCATTGATGGTTTTCGATCACCACCAGGCAAAGGTTTCTGCTTTATTAGTACGCTAATGGTACCTTGCCTCACGGATTATTACGGTTGTCCTGCTTTTTCTTGCGAGGTATTATTGTGCCATTACCTTAAGTCATAGCTTAATTAGTTAAATTATTCAAACATTAGCCTCTGAGTGTGCCTCCTGGCGTAAGCATCGTTAAATTACTTATCTATATCCATCTTTAGATGCAGAGCTCCTAGTCGTTCCACGTAGAACCGTAGTTCTGCCCGTGTGCTTTATCCTGCGATGGCTCCGGGGGATGGGTTCGAGTTTAGCGGCGAGCGAGTAGTCGTAGGAGTGAGCAAAGACCCCTCGTGTAAGGACGCGATTAAGTGGGCCATCACGAATAAGCTAAGGAGTCCCGATGACATCCTTATCCTGCTTCACGTGGTCACTAAGATTCCTAGCCCGAGTGAGTGGTGCTCTTATTCTGTGTCGTATTCGGCGGTGTTTTCCCTGTTCCTGGACACATGCTTTCATCGCGAAAGCAATCTTCTTTCGGGCGTTGCCAATGCAATTTGTCAAAAGCCATCCGAAGAATGAACGGTTCAATTTCGTCACGGACAATGCTTTTTTTCAAACAACAATGCTGGCTCGATGATTTCCGTGATTGTCTGCTCGTCCTGATTGCCTTGATTGTCCTCATTGTCCTGACAGGCATGGGAACGTATGGAAGCGGGGCTCGCGGTGGAGCAGGTGCGTAACGAGCGCAAACCTTAAACTCTGCGCTGTTACAGCCCTCCCTTTCTTCCGCGCGTCTCCTCTCTCGCCTCGTTTTCTACGCTGTTTTCTGTTGAACCTAATTAGTTAACACCGGGATTGGCTGGTGATGTCTGATTGATGTCCAGTGATGTTCGATGATGGCTGTTAATGTCCCCATGATTGATTGCTGCTCCTCTTCTTTATTGCTATCTGTTGCCCCCATTGCACGTTCCAGGCGCGGAGATGTACCAGAGCGAGGTCAACAACACCATGTTCGTGCACTACGTGCGCACCATCGTGCAGCCCATGATGCTGTCGCTCAAGAAGGTCGTCGATCCCAAGGTGAGTCGCGCAGCGCAGCCCACGATGCTGCCGCTTGTGATTTTCTCGAATTCATTTTTCTCGATATACACTGTCGTTGGAAACATTGCCCGTGTACCTCTTTGCCTTGCTGTCCGCGCCAGATCAAGCTGGAGCTGAAGGTCGGTCGTAATAATTCGCGGGAAAAGGGCATTGTGGAGGAATCGAAGAAGCTTAAAGCGACGTCGCTCGTTATCGGAACCAACGCCAGAGGCATGTTCAGCATGTAAGTACCCCGGCAATCAATCACTTAAAAACAGATACTAAACGGTCACCCACAATGCACCAGTACCAAGGACCAAGCGGTCAGCTAATTAGCTACAAATAGCTACCAACCTTTTTTTCGCACCAGCACACTCCCTGGCGCTCGCTCTCGGCGCTCGCATCTCGTCTTAAGGAACTGCATGCACTCTCAAACATCCGGCCACCATTCATCCTCTATACACATGCCAAGCCTCTCCGTTGCACATGCATTCTTGACACGTAAACCCGTCCCTCGTCTCCGCGCGCCTCACCTCAATCCCCCCAGGCGCGGCATGTCCTCCAGGACGGGCGCGTACTGCGTGCGCTACAAGCCCAGTCTGTCGCAGCCGTTTATTCAAACCTTTGAGGTGTTTTTTGAGAATCCTCATCTTTCTTATGACCGAACCACAAACCCCCCAGGCGCGGCAAGTCCTCGAGCACGGGCGCCTACTGCGTGCGCTACAAGCCGCCGGGCATATCGGTGTACGTGATTCAGCGCGACAAGGTGATTCTCTACAAGGAGTCGGAGGGCTCGCCCGTCTCCTCCTCCACCGGCAGTCCCTCGGGCTCCGGCCCCATGATGCCGCGCCCGGGCCCGCCGGGGGGAGCGGGCTCGGGGACTCTCGAACCCACCTACAGCGGCGCGTTCAGCGAGCAGGGTGAGTGAGCGCGCCGCCTTGATGCGTTTTGTTTGTTAATGCGTACGGCCTGATGCCTTTGCGTTCCTGAGCAGCCTGACGTTTTGCGCCTAGTCTGACGCGATGAGAGTCTATCCGCGATGTCCCTTCTCAGGCGGGGAATACGACAACGGCTATCCGCCCAGAGGCTACACCCCGTACGGCGGCGGCGGCGGGAGCGGGGAGCAGCAGGCGCAGCCGTATGGGCAGTACCCGCAGCAGCAGCAGTACGGACAGCAACAGCAGCAGTATCCTATCCGCGGCTCTGGCGGCCAGCAGCCTGGCGGGTGGGGGGGCGGAGGCGGGGGCTACGGGGACATGGGCGGGGGGCATGGCGGGGGAATGGGCATGCAGGGGCAGGGGGGCATCCGCGGAGCGGGAGGGTATGCGCCAGGGGCCAGGAGAGGGTACGGCAGCGACGAGTCTAGCCCGTCGGGATCAGGCACTCTCCAGCCCGTGTATGGCAACCCTGCGCCCGGCGGCGGGGGAAGCGGCGGGCTTGCCCACTCTGGCACCCGCTTCTCCATGGACGGCGGAGCGGAAGGGCAGTGGGGGGGCGGCGGGGGCGGAGGCGGAGGTTCCGCGGGGGGCGCGCAGAAGAGCCCGGGCGGGCCGAATGATATCCAGCAGGCGGCGGCGCTGTCCGCGCTGGCGTGGTCGCAGGCGGCGAACAGCCAGGAGGGGCAGCGGCTGCAGTCGGATTACATGGCGGAGTTTGACGCGTGGAAGCAGTCGAACCAGGCCGCCACGTACCAGCAGCAACAGGACTTCATGTCGGATCTCCAGGCGCGCATGGCCAAGGCGCGCGCGGCGCTCGCGGGGCTGCAGCTCGGGGGGGACGGGGGGAGCGGAACGGGGTCGCCAGCGGGGGCTGGGGGGGGTGCGCCGGGGGCGGGGTCCGGGGAAATGCAGGCTCGGCCGATGTACCCTGCGCCCATCCCCGCGCCTATCCCGGACGGGCCTGCGACTGGCGGCAGTGGCGGGCAGAGCGCCAATGAGGTCAGAAGCGCTTCCAGCCCGCGGGAAATGGGGATGGGGTAATGGTGACTGGGGAAAAGGTGATGCGGAATGATGAAGCGGGGAATGGTGGTGCTGGGAGTGGTGATGAGCGGTAAGAAGTGGCTGATGCTCGTTGCATCCATCCCTGCACCCAACCCTGCACTCGTCCCTGCGCCCATCCCTGCTCTCGTTCTACTTACCCTCCATCCACTTCCCGTCTCCCCTCCCCACTCCCCTACCTTCTCACTTACCCTCGTGCCTCCTCTCTCACTTACCCTCGTGCCTTTTCTCCTCCCATCGTCCCCCCACCCCGCCCGCGTGACCACGCACTAACCCCACCGTTTCCCTGCTTCTCGTTCTTCCCACCCTCCCCCTCTTCCCGCCCTCCCCTCTCCTTTCCGCCCCCCTACCCCGTCCCCACCCACACAATCGCACCTCCACCAGATCGACCTGCGGAGGGAGCTGGAGCTGATGCGGCGAAGTCGAGGCTCAGAACAAGCGCCAATCCTTTAACCCTCCTCTCTCTCCCTTGCCCCTCCCCCCCATTCCCTGTTTTCCCGATTCTCGTTCTTCTCTCTCCCCCTCTTCTTGCCCCTCCCTTCTCCCCTCCGCTCCCCCCACCGTGCCCCACGTCCCGCACACTAACCCCCCCCAGATTGACCTGCGGAGGGAGCTGGAGCTGATGCGGCAGAGAGCAGCAGAGGCGGAGCAAGCGCGCCTGGAGGCGGAGCAGCGCGCCCAGCGCGCCCTTTCCGAGGCAGACCGCTCCCTCCGCGAGGTGGAGGCTCAGAACAAGCGCCGGGAGCTGGAAACCGCTGTGCGCATCGAAATGGCGTCCCAGGAGGCCTCCCGGGCGATTGCTGCAGCGGAGGAGGCGAGGAAGCAAGCTGGATTGGAGGCGCAAAAGACGGAAGTGGCGATGAAGCAGGCGGCGATGACCCGGGCGGCACTGGAGATGGAGTCGCAGAAGCGGGCGGCGGTGGAGCTGAAGGCGAAGGGGGAGAGGGGGAGTCAGCGCATGGCGGCGAATTACAGGGACTACAGCTACGAGGACATTGTGGTGGGTGGGGTGTGGGTGTGGTGGTTGGGGTGGTTGTGCCTGGCACGAGTGCGCTGTGGTGTGCTGTGCTGTGCTGTGCTGTGCTGTGCTGTGCTGTGCTGTGCTGTGCTGTGCTGTGCTGTGCTGTGCTGTGCTGTGCTGTGGTGTGCTGTGGTGCGCTGTGGTGTGGTGTGCTGTGGTGTGCTGTGGTGTGCTGTGCTGTGGTGTGCTGTGGTGTGGTGTGCTGTGGTGTGCTGTGGTGTGCTGTGGTGTGGTGTGCTGTGATGTGGTGTGTTGCAGGGATTACCCTGCCCCACCCTGCCCCAATCCCCCCCAGTTTGCAACAGAGAACTTCAAGCTGGAGCGCAAGCTGGGCGAGGGTGGGTTTGGCACGGTGACCCCCTCCGGGCACAAAAACATGCTGAAAGTCCCCTTTTCCCCCTTTCCCCCTTCTCTCCCTTCCAATTCCCCCTCTCCCCCACCCTCCACCCTCAAACTCCGCCCTCTCCCAGTTTGCAACGGATAACTTCAAGCCAGAGCGCGAGCTGGGCGCGATGAGTCCCACTCAGGGCACAAATCATGCTCTAAAGCCCTCCCTCTCCACCCGCATCCCCCCATTCAACATCCCCCAGTTTGCAACGGAGAACTTCAAGCCGGAGCGCAAGCTGGGCGAGGGCGGGTTTGGCACGGTGTTCTCAGGCACGCTGCACCACACCCCCGTGGCGGTGAAGGTGCTCAAGAACGCGGACGCCATGCAGGCTGCCAATGAGTTCCAGCAGGAGGTGCGTGGGTCCCTGGCATGTCCGTGGCATATTAAGGGGGGAGTTTGGGGGGGGGGGGGGGGTTAGGGGTGGCATGCACGGTGTTCTCAGGCACGCTGCACCACACACCCGTGGATGTCAAGGTGCTCAAGAACGCGGATGCCATGCAGGCCACCAACGAGTTCCAGCAGGAGGTGAGTCCCTCGCAAGCATATGGTGTCCATCCTTTGCTAAGGAGCAGACGCAATATGGGCTGCGCATGGCATCCCACGCCCCCCTCCACTCGCTCCCCCCCATCAATTCCATTGACCAGATTCGGGAATCCCATGTAGTAATAAGTCCACACATTTTCTCTGCGTTCCATCTGTCCGCCCACCCCTGCCCTGCCGCTTGCTCCCAACCGCTTGCCCTCTCATCCCTCTCCCTCCTCTGCCCCTCCCCCCACCACACACAGGTGGAGGTGCTGAGTCAGATTCAGCATCCTCATGTCGTCATGCTCCTTGGCTGCTGCCCCAGCAAGTACTGCCTCGTCTACGAGTTCATGGCCAACGGCTCTCTAGAGGACCGCCTCCTCTGCGCCAACAACACGCCCCCCCTCCCTTGGTACATCCGCATGCGCGTCGCTGCCGAAATCGCCTCCGCTCTCCTCATCCTCCACACGCGCCCTGTGCCCATCGTCCACCGGGACTTAAAGCCCGGAAACATCCTCTTAGATAAGAACTTCGTGGCGAAGCTAGGGGACGTCGGGCTGGCGAAGCTCATGCCGGGTTTATCCATGGATCAGACCTACATGCGGGAGTCTGTTCCTGTGGGTACCTTTGCGTATGTCGACCCGGAGTTTCAGCGAACGGGGGAATTTGGGCCGAAATCCGATGTCTACGCACTGGGGATCGTGCTGCTGGACTTGCTCACGGGCCGGAAACCCAACGTGTATGAAGGGCTAGAAGAGGCTGTAGACGACGGGGACGAGAACGAATTGAAAGAGTTTTTAGATGAAAGAGCGGGTGACTGGCCGCTAGATATGGTGATGGAGGTGGCGCGGATTGCGGTGAAGTGTTCGGAGATGAGGAGGAAGAAGCGCCCGGACCTAGAGAAGCAGGTCATGCCGGTGCTGGACCGAGCCAGGGCGCGCGCTGCCAAGGCTGAGGAGGAGGCTCGGAAGGCCCCGAGCCGCCGGCCGATGGGGGAGGCTCCGAGCGTGCTCTTCTGCCCCATCACTCAGGTGGGTGGGTGGGTGGGCAGGGTAGATGGGTGGGTAGGGAGAACTCGTTTCTGTGCCCACATATTCAGTTTGATGAGAGTGCATGAGGTATGTGAAGGTGTGTGATGAGCTCTCTCTTCGTATTTCTCCTCTTTCTCTTTCTCACGCAATGACAATAAATGATATAATTTAGTTTGTTACACGCTTAAATTCCGTATCTTTCTCCCCATGCAATCGCTGCACTGCCCCCCCACAGGAGATGATGGTGAACCCTGTGCTGGCAGCAGACGGGCACACATACGAGCAGGAGGCAATCAAATCGTGGCTGGAGACGAGCGACATGTCACCGATGACCAATCAGAAGCTGCCCAGCAAGGACCTCGTGCCGAACCATGCCGTGCGCTCCATGATCCAAGACTGGCGCCAGCGCAATGGGTAAGGGCCGTGCTGCAGGTGCACTAGAGGTGGAGAGGGGGGAGGAGGTGGAGGGAGGTGGAGAGGGGGGAGGAGGTGGAGGGGAGATGGGGGACAGGGGAATGCAGTGCGCTCCATTATCCAAGACTGGTGCCAGCGCAATGGCTAAGAACTATGCTGCAGGTGGTGGGGCTGAGGAGGGTGGGGGGAACGGCTTAGGAGTGTGCTAGAGGTGCAGTGGGGCCGGATGAGGGAAGTGGGCAGGGTGGAGATACAAGTATGCAATGCGCTTCATGATCCAAGACTGGCGGCAGCGCAATGCTTAATGATCCAAGACATGCACTAGGGGGGTGGAGAGGGGGAGGAGGAGGGGAGGTGGGGGGGAAAGGCTGGGAGGAAGGCGGGGAGGGGGCGCTTGATGTGTGCGCTCCATGATCCAAGACTGTAGCAGTGTAATGAAGCAGTGTAACAGGGAAGTACTGAATGCAACAGCAGAAGTGTGCCTAAACACTGTACTGTAGGGATGCCGTAACAGCGGTGACTTGGTGATGTGAGTGCGTCGCAGAGGTCCATCCATCAATGGCCAGCCCATAGCCGTGCCCAGTTCCTGACAGTGTCCGTTGCTGGTACAATGTGGGGGGTGTCCATTGTGTGATCTGAGTGCTGGCTGGAAGCACTCTCCTGTTCAGGTCTTAGGGGCTTTTTTAGGCAACTTAGTACCTGGGGATCAATCGTCCCTTGTTCTGGGAGGAGGATTTTGCGGGAGCGGTGGCTGGGGAAGACATGGCTGGGTGGTAGCAGGAAGGAACACATGGGTGAGTGACACAAGGGAGAGCTGGAAATAGGAGCCCGTTTCGGCATCAATGGGCTGTTGGTATGTATGTCAGGTTGAAGCGGCTGGGGTGAGGGGGAGCTGGGCTCAGGAGCTAGGTGTGTATTCCTGGGTAGGTTTTAGGTGTTGGTGTTTGAATGCTAGAAGCTGGTGAGTGAAGAGTTAACAGGCTCAAAAGTGGGTTGCAGAGAAATGGGAGTGAGCATTTCGCTAGGTGAGAGTGCATTGATGATTTATGTGCATTTAGTAAGAGGTGTACTATGTTTGCTTGCCAAGCCTGTTAGGTATTAGGGAGAATAGAAGGGGTCATTTTCAGCTTAGGGCGTGGTTGGCATGGTGGCCATCCTAATATTTATGTGTGTCATGCGAGTGCATATTCAAGGGGGCTGTAAAACTCTGAATGTTTTCTGGAATAGAATATAGTATCGTGCTGCAAAACATAAATGGTTGTGTGGTTGGATAATCCATGGTCTATTATTAATTGGTCATGCTACAGCGTAGTTGTCAAACGCGAGTATGACATGCAGTTTGATGTCGCGTAAATTCCCTTTCAATCTTCTCCATATCGAGTATGCATCATCAGCCAGGGTGTACCTGAAGGCGAGGCCGTCAAAGCCACAAATCCTAGAGATGGGTTTGCCACGTGGATTCATCCACAGCTCGGGCTGCAATTTCGCCCACATTCATTCCACGCGAAATTCACCAGATTAGCTGGTTTCCCTCTCTCAACCCTTCGCCAAATCAGACTCCCCATCCATCACCCGCTCCCACTTCCCAGCTCCCACCAGTTGGTGGGCCTCTCCCGTGCGATCTTTCAAGAACCACAGCTGAGTCTGACGTCAAGCTACCCATGTCAGTACTTCAGCGACCTCTGCCGTTTCGCCAAGATGCCCGATCGTCCCAAAAGCCAGCCGATTTGTCGTCAAACGGCAGATATAACTTCGCTAGCGGCTGGACAGCCTTCGCGAACGGAAACCAGTCTCAAGACTTCTGCCCGATTTCGAGATAATCTCTAGGGTTTTCTGCCCAGCCAGATTTGAGCAGCAGAAACAAGACCATCTATCCATCCATTCTTCTGACCAGCTAGGAACCACAGGGATCTCCTTTCCTTTCCCCTAGCAGGATTGCAGCAACCTTTTTCTTCGTTTTAGACCAAGTCACAAATTTTAGGCTTGATTGCCCTGTCAGGGCTGCTGCTGTTCCAGCCAACGGCAGCACCGGCCGAGTAAAAGCTACATTCTAGCTGCTCGTAGAAATGGCTGCGTTGACGCGTCCGTTGGCCAACCTTTCCCTCGCGGGGAATGCGGTGGCTAAGCAGGGGAGCCATGGACCCTTGCAATCAGAGCTGCTCGGGTCCCCCGTCCTCTCCTCGTCCAGTCCAGCCGCTCCTATTCAGGCGGGTTGCGAAGGAACGGTTAAAATCTCATGCAGGGTACAGACCGGTCCCGTGACTGCGAGGGCTAGCCTAACCAGCAAGAGCAGCAGAGCGAAGTCGTCCGCGCGTCGCTCCGTCGTCGCTCACTCTCGCAAGAGAATGTTCGACGATCCGTTCGATTACGGTGAGGATCCAGACCTCGAGTATGGCGATCTGCTGTCGTCAGGCAAGCAAGACGCGGTCGACCCTCGTCCCCCCACCGATACCACCTCCAACGAAGGCTGGCTCAAGTTCCCGTCTGGCCACAACCCGGAGATTGCGTCGCTCGGGTTGTACATTCGCGACGATGTGCGAAGCTGTGCGATTCTTGTCGCCGGCGGCGTGTATGAGAATCTTCTGTTTTTCCCGGTGATTTCGCTGCTGAAGGAGAAGTACCCTGGCGTGAAGATCGACGTGGCGGCTCCGCCACGTGGCAAGCAGACTTACGAGATCAACAAGAACGTACGGCGCGCGTGGGTGTACGACCCTGAAGATCCGTTCGTGACTCCCGCCGAATACACCGAGTTCCTCGGCAAGCTCAAGGTGAGAACGCCCTTTCAAGAGCTCTGTTTCATAGAGACATTCTTTGGAACGAAGTTATTGAGCGTTATGCATATGCTTCAGTAGCGCGTCGTCTTCGGGTGTTTGCTGCATTGGATTTACTGCCATCAGGGGTTCCCATGCAGGCCTTGGTTATTTACTGCTGTTGCTGCTTAGGCCGTGCGTTCTCCTCGCCCTGTCAGCACTGGCCTTGCTGGGAGTTGTCGGTCGTGGCTGCATTGACCCCTTCCCGTTCCAGTTTCCATCCCCATACTCTCCGTCCTCCACCCCTCCGAACCCTCCGCATACCCTTCCCACCCACCCTCCTCGCACATGCGGACTTCGCCTCCGGCTGACTACCAGCTGTACGCGGCTGCATTGTCCCTCCTCGTCCTCTCCTTGTCCTCTCCCTCTCCCCCATTTCCCGGATCCCCCATCCTCTCCTGCATTCCCGTTTCCCCTCGCGCTTCCTGCTTTGGAATTCACGAGACAGACTTGGTTGACTCCACCAGACTGGTCGCGCCGGGCCATGGCATGTTCCGCTTCTTCTCCTTCGCCCGCCATCGCACTCTGGACTCACGCGCCTCCCCTCTCCCCGCCTTTCCTCCCCGTTTGGTCTGTCCTTGCAGAAAGAGGCGTACAAGCTAGTTCTGTCGACGAGACAGGATGTCCCGGACCACGCTATGTTCCTCTTCTCTCGCCTTCGCGTTTCACTTACCCATCACCCGCCGACTCCTTCCCATTCCCCCTTCCCCATTTTTCGCTTACCTCTTTTTCAGAACGAGGCGTACGACCTGGTGCTGTCGACAAGACTGGCGGGGCTGGGCCACGCGATGTTCCTGTTCCTGTCCGACGCGCGCCAGCGCGTGTCGTACGTCAACCCCAACGCCAGCGGCGCGGGCGCGGGCGTGTTCCTCTCGACCGCTGTGCGCACGGAGAAGGAGAACCTCGCGGAGGACGGCTGCCACATGTGAGTGCGCTGGCGACAAGAGCTGGCTGGCAGCGTGTGAATGCAGTGGTGTGCCTAAGGGTGTGCGGCATGGGGATGGGAGTGCGACGGCGTGCTGGCTGGATTGGATGGGTGTTGGTGCGAAGGTGACAGTTTCTTAGGCGCCTTGAGATGCTCATGGGCATTTCGCGTGCGATGTTTTGCCGATTTGGGTTTGGGAGGTGTCGGTACCCAGGCGATGGTAGCGAGCAACGGTAGCGGAGGCATTTTAGGATACTCCGTGAACTGCAGTGTGCACGGGAAAGGAGGATGTGCAGAGTGAGAATGCCTTGATGCGCCTTCAAATCAGAGCGCTGCAAGGGCGTAGGTGCGCGTGCGAGAGTGGGTTGGTACATGCGACGGGAATGAGGCACAAAAGGAGGAGGTCGTTCGGGATGGGAACGAATTGATGTTAGATGCAGGCAGTGTCGAGTGTGAGTGGCGATGAGAGAAAGGCACCGTAGTACAGCGCTCCCCTTTGTTACGACATACAATGTTACAACGCCGGTGTTACATGGCACGCTGTTGCAGCCATGCTGTCGCAACGCATTATCCTACAACGCACGGTGCAACAATGCTCTTGCCAGACGCCCTCCCTCCCCTTCCCACCACCACCAACCCCCCCACTCCGCTCCCCCAATTCAGCCCCCCTCCCCCCCCCCGGGTACGGGGACCTGGTGGACCTCCTCTGGAAGCCGGTGGGGAGGGGGGCAGCACTCTCCCTGCCAGGCACTCTGTCCGAAAGAACCTCTTCATCCCCATCACCCCCCACCTCTCTCCGCCTCCAACCTCGCAGGTACAAGGACTTGGTCAACCTCCTCTTAGAGCCCGTGCGCGAGGTGAACCAACTCAAACCCCTTCACCCACTTCCCTTCCCACCCCACCTCGCAGGTACAAGGACTTGGTGGACCTCCTCTTAGAGCCCGTGCGTGGTGGGCCGGCGCTGCACCTGCCGCCGCTGCAGGTGAATCTGCCGCGCAAGGTGCGCGAGGTGACGCGCGAGAAGACGACCGCGGCGGGCGTGGCGGCGGGCGCGTACACGCTGGTGCACGGCGTGGAGTCCTCGTCCGCCGCCTCCATGCGCTCGCGTGGAGACACCGACAGCGCGCTTTCCCTGGTTCTGCTCGCCGAAATCGCCAAGAGCGTGAGGTGCGTGACGGGAGTGGGAGGGCGGGCTGTAGGTAGGCAGTGGTCGGTGTGTGTGCGCTGAGCACAGGGAGGGAGGGAGAGAGGGAGGGAGGGAGAGGTGGCGGCGTGGCGGCGGGCGCGTACACGCTGGTGCACGGCGTGGAGTCCTCGTCTGCTGCATCCATGCGCTCACGTGGGGATACCGACAGCGCGCTTTCCCTGGCTCTGCTCGCCGAAATCGCCAAGAGCGTGAGGTGTGTGACGGGAGTGGGAGGGCGGGCTGTAGGTAGGCAGTCCTCTTCCGCCGCCTCCATGCGCTCACGTGGGGATGCTGACTGGGCTCTGTCTCTGGCGCTGCTTGCTGCGATCGCCAAGAGCGTGAGGTGCATGGGAGAGGTGTGTTGTGGGGTGGGGATTTTTGCTCTGAACACAGGGAGAGGGGGATGAGTCTCCACGCTGCTCATCAATCCCACCAGCGTGTGCGTCTCCCTCCCATCCCTTCCCCTCTCACCCCTCCCACTCTCACCCCTCCCACTGCCACCCCTCCCTGTACCCACTTCCCTCCTCTCCCGCTCCCGTCCCCTCTCTTTCTCCCCCACCCCAGTGGCGACCTGCTTGTTGTGGTGCCCAACGACGCGGATCAAGGCAAGGTGCAGAGCGCTGTGCCCAGTCACTCATTCTCCCCCTCCCACTTCCTTACCCCTTACCCTCTCCCCGACCCACTCCTCCGTCTTCTCCTCCCCTCTCCTCCCTTCCCGTCCCCTCTCTTTACTCTTCCCACCTCAGTGGCGACCTGCTGGTGGTGGTGCCCAACGACGCAGATCAAGGCAAGGTGCAGAGCGCCGTGCCCTCGGCCAAGGTCGTCAAGATCACCACCCCGGGCCAGGTATGGCATGGAAGTGACACGCGCATCAAATGGCTTGATGGCATGAACGGGGCAAGAGGAGGGGTGTGGCACGCACATGGGGGTGTGGAGTGCACCAAGTGTGGTGTGCATGATTCATCGCATGCATGGTGTATGGAGAATCAAAGCATGTAGGTTGAGTTTGCAAGTATGCCATGGGATAGCAATGAATGGAATATGGACGTAACCGTTCCTGATGCTAGAGTATGGGTTGCTCATTACCGGATGCTCGCCGAACAGCAGTAAATGACTGTTCGAACTTGAACATTGAGGCGTAGACTTTTCCCTTCTCCTCTCTTGCTGTCCCCCACCCGTGACTTTCTTCAACCCCCCTTGGTTTCCTCCGCTACTCCAGCTTGCTGCTGCCATTGACGATGCCGCTGCTGTCGTCACAACCAACACTGCTGCCGTGCAACTCGCCACCGCTCTTAGAAAGCCAAGGTCAGTTCTCGAGGAATTTGCAGTCTGAAAGAAATTCTGTTTTTGTTTTGTTAAGAACCAAAGTTGCGGAATGTTGAATGGCTTGATTTGATCGTCTTGTTCCCTGCACTTTCTTCTTTGACCTGGCGTTTTCTGATCTCCAGCGTGGCTCTTTTCGGGTCGTCGGACAAGGCTACTCGGTTCATCCCCAATGCTGCTGACCGCAAGTGCACAGTCGTCGCATCTGCAACCGGCAGTCTTGCCGGTATCAGTGCCAAGGACGTTTCTGCTGCTGTTGCGTCCCTCCCAGTCTCTGCTGCTGCCCAGGTGGCTGCCTGAAAATGCAGCTGTACTCCCTGTTGCTTGAATTGTCCCCAACCGTGCTGCTTGTAGAAGTTTGTGAGCTTCAATTGCCACTCGTCTTACAGTAGTTTCTAGCATACAGCGTGTTTATTGTATGTCATTTCAAACACCACAGCGGCCAAAATTGGCCCAATTTTATGTTCCCTGAAAATGACATTTGTTTCAAATGCTACCACCGTCGTAGGGCGTGCAAAGTGACGTCCACCATCAATGTGTTACGCTTTACCGCCACGAAACGAAGTCGCGAATCTCGCCAAGGGACAGTTTGCTGGTGGGGACGAGAGCCATCTGCTGCAGTTTGCCTTTTCCAGAAATCTCTCCTGAACCTTGGGAATGCCCGTGATACACCAGCAAATCGCTGTGCCTGAATTGACCTTTCCGCCGTGTAGAAACGGCTCTTAGTTAAATCCGAGGCAGAAGTCAGCTTTCGGCGACTCGAATCCGTTTCTTTGTCCCTGAAACCTTGGGAGTGCCAATGAGTCGTTGTGACTGGCGCAGCTATAGCGGCCATTCGTTGTGACTGCCGGCTAGACAAGTAGTGGTGAATAGTGTCAGTTGGCTCTTATGACGTGCGTGGCTGGAGTGTTAGGCTGCACATTGTGACACCTAATTCGAGGAGATAGGTCGCGAGCAGATATTTCCGGAGCACGGTAGTTATTGTACCACTATTCAGTAATAGGGCTCACTGTGGCTACCGCAGCCTGCTGCAGCACTGACATTGTAACATTTAGTCCTTTCTCCTTGTTCACCTGTTGTTTCTTTTCAGCTTCACATCCCGGTTATGGCTTCTTGCAGCGCTTCAGCGCTGCGTCAGAATGCCTTACACTATCATGCCCTCCATACTAGCTCCTCCGGAAATCCGACTAGAGACTCTAACTCAAGTCGTCCTATAACGAATCAGATCGCGTGGAGCCGCGCAGGAGGATGGAGTCAAGGAGCGGCGAATCTACGGTCGCCGCGCCGTCAAAACGGATGCGGTATAGACTGCTTCGACTCCAGTCGCTTTGCGAGGCGAGACCGGCAGCAAGATAGAGCGATGGGAATCCGGTCCGCAGTGATTCTCGACGACGTTCCGCACATTTCCGAATGGATTCCTGACCTACAGGTGCACACACGCACTGCTCTGCTTCCGTTTTCTTTTCTTTACATATATCTATTCTCTTATTCAGTGTCACTTTTCAGTCCGGACCTTGGACCTTCTTGGTGCACAACTGCGTGTGACTTACTTGCCTTCTCTGTCTCTATCCTTCTCTCTTTCTCGTTCTGTGTCTCTCTCTTCGTCCGTGTCTATCGCAGATGTACAATAATCCGCTGCTTCGAAGCCCTAATCGACCCGAGTAAGCAATACGATCCCATACCCTTTACAACCATTCCGTGCTGCTGTTCTGCACAAGGGTGCATCAGCGCACACCTCAGCGCACACCTCAGCGCACACCTCACTGTGATATTCATTGTTGAAGTGCATTGTGCTGTGCTGTGGCCAACCTGTGTTTTCCATCCCACTCCTCTGCAATCCTCATATTACCCCTTCCTGCCGTCTCATTCCCTCCAATCCTCCTCATCCCCCCCCCGCTCCTCGCGTATCCGCGCCCATCTGCGCCCATCCGCGCCCATCCGCGCCCATCTGCACCCATCACCACCACCAGGAATTACTTCGTGGACAGCGAGGACGTCGTGTGCCAGAAGGTGCGTTTCTCCCAAGCCATTTCCCCCTCCATTCTCTCCCCATTCCCCGTCCGCCCTTCCCCTCATTCCCTCTCCGTCCTTCCTGCCGCGTCGTGTTTTTCTCCGCCTGCCTGCTCGTCTCCCGTCCCCACTCTCCCGTCCCCTCTCTCCCCTCCCATCCCCCCTCTCCCCTCCCATCCCCCCTCTCCCGTCCCCTCTCTCCCCTCCCATCCCCCCTCTCCCGTCTCCCGTCTCCCGTCTCCCGTCTTCCGCTTCTCCCTCAGGCGCTCATCAAGACGGGCAGTGTGGACGACATTCGAGTCTTCCGATGGTCTCTTTCAAGGCCCCCCTTCTCCCCAACCCACACGCCCCCGCCCCGCACCTCCCCCACCCCCCAACTGCTCCGGTTCTCCAACCAGGCGCTCATCAAGACGGGCAGTGTGGACGACATTCGAGTCTTCCGACGCTCTGGACCACGCGAGCAGGTGAGGGAGGAGGAGGGTGGAGAAGGGAGGGGAGGGGAGGGAGGGGGGATAGGGGGAAGAATTGTGACGTGCCCTGGTCTCTGCCCTGGCCGTGATTTTTGAGGCGCCTCAAAAAGAACCGTGACGTGCGGTAGTCTCTCTCTGCCCCGGCCTCAACACGGTCATCCCTCCCTCCCTTGCCTGCTTCCCTGCCGCCCAACCTCTCCTTCCCCTTTCCCCCCTCCCCATTGCACCCCCCTTCCAGGTCGCCTTCCAGCTGCAGGACGTGCGGGAAGCCATAGTGACGTGCGGCGGGCTGTGCCCCGGGCTCAACACTGTCATTCCCCCTTCCCTTAGCCCCTTTCCACTCCTCCCTCTCTCTTCTCACAGGTGGCATTCCAGCCTCAGGACGTGCGGGCAGCCATAGTCACGTGTGGGGGGCTGTGTCCCGGGCTCAACACAGTCATTCGCGAGCTCGTGTGGGCGCTGTGGTTCCGCTACGGCGTGCGCAACATCTCCGGCATTGATGTGCGTAAGAGTGGGGTGGGGAAAGGGGAGCAGGGTGCGAGCTCGTGTGGGCGCTCTGGTTCTGCTACAGCGTCAGGAGTATCTCCGGCATTGATGTGCGTTGCCTTGGAAGAGGAGGAGGGGGCGGGATGGTGGAAGGAGGGAGAGCGAGGCGAGGGGAAGCGATGGCAGGGCCGTACTGGGAGGCTTGCGGGGAAGAACTGGGCGGTGCGGTGCATTGTGTCGAATAGGACTGATCTACCGCCCCCACCCAGGGCGGCTATCGAGGCCTTTCAGCGGCAACCTGCTGCAGTTGGACCCGTGGAAGCACCAAGGTGGACCATGGACCGTGGACCCAAGGCAGGAAGCTTAACTTCCCCTCCCCCCCCCCCCCTCCCCCCACCACTCCCCCCCACCCAGGGCGGGTACCGCGGGTTCTACAGCCGCAACCTGCTGCAGCTGGACCCGTGGAAGGTGAACGACATTCACAAGCGCGGAGGAACCTTCCTGGGTACTTCCCGAGGCGGGCACGACTCCACCAAGATCGTCAACTCCATTGAAGACCGCGGCATCAACCAGGTGCGGTGCGGTGCGGTGAGGCATCAACCAGGTGTGGTGCGGTGCGGTGCGGTGAGGCATCAACCAGGTGCGGTGCGGTGCGGTGAGGCATCAACCAGGTGCGGTGCAGTGCGGTGAGGCATCAACCAGGTGTGGTGCGGTGCGGTGAGGCATCAACCAGGTGAAGTGGCAGGCAGAGGAACTCTCAGGTGACGCCGCAGGAGAATTAACAGATTAGTTTATTGGTACATGATAGGAAGGGATGGCACACTGCAGTAGTGCGGACATCTTCACAACAGCGCCTTTTTCAAATGTGTGCTCTTTCCCTTCCCACTCCCTCACCACAATGTCCTCTTCCCCTCCATGCCAGCTGTACATCATAGGGGGGGACTGCACGCAGCGTGCTCTTGAGGTGCCTTGAAACATTTTCTCCGATTTCCTCTCCTTTCCTCGCTTCCAACCCCCGTCGCCCGCTCTCCTCCCACCCTGACAGTTGTACATCATAGGGGGGGACGGCACGCAGCGTGGCGCCGAGATCATCTATGAGGTGCGTGGGGCGTGGGACGCGGGGAGCATGGCAGGTATGATGGGTGGTATGCGGTGCCGTGCGGTGCAAAGGGCTGGCACGGCTCCTCAGGCAGCTGTACACGAGGTGCGGTGCAAAGGGCTGACAGAGATCATTTATGAGGTGCGTGGGACAATGACCGTGGGAAACATGGCAGGCACGGGTGGTGTGCGGTGCCGTGCGGTGGGAAGGGTTGAGCCCATAGACCATACAGGTGGGGGGTGATAACGGCTTACTGCAGGTCTTGTGGAATGTCGTGCGATCTCCTCATTGGTCCTCTTTTCCTTGGAAGGCATCTCAAAGTTTGGAGTACTCCCCTTGCACGCGACAGGAGACGGGGCGGAGGGGACTGAAGGTGGCAGGAATCCCTAAAACGATAGACAATGACATTGCAGTGATCGACCGGTCGTTTGGGTTTGACTCTTTAAGCTCAGCGGGCGGAGGCTCAGCGGGAGGAGGCTCAGCGGGCCATCAGCGCTCCCTTATCCTCCTTGTTCGCCTCCTTGCCCCCCGCAGGAAACCAGGAGGAGGGGACTCAAGGTGTCCGTGGCGGGAATCCCTAAAACGATCGACAACGACATTGCAGTGATCGACCGGTCGTTTGGGTTTGACTCGGCTGTGGAGGAGGCTCAGCGGGCCATCAGCGCTGCGAGGGTGGAGGTCACGAGCACTCACCGGGGGGTGGGGCTGGTGAAGCTCATGGGGCGATACTGCGGTGAGTGCATTGGAACAGGGGAGAGACGCTGTTGTCGTTGTGCGTTGAGAGGTGGAGGAGGCTCAGAGGGCCATCAGCGCTGCACGCGTGGAGGTCACGAGCACTCACCGGGGGGTGGGGCTGGTGAAGCTGATGGGGCGATACTGCGGTGAGTGTAAGGATGAAGGGATGGGACGGCACTGAGTAAAGGGTAGAGGCTGGTGGTGGTGTGGTTACAGGGTTGGAACTTGGAGGAGGCTCAGAGGGCCATCGGTGCTGCGGCTGATATCATATCACCTGCTCTGCTCCGATCTCTCTCTGTCATCACAACCTGATCTTGGTCTCCCGCTCCCACTCCCGCTCTCGCTCCCACTCCCGCTCCCACTCCCACTCCCGCTCCCACTCCCGTTCCCACTCCCACTCCCACTCCCACTCCCACTCCCACTCCCACTCCCACTCCCACTCCCACTCCCACTCCCAACCCAACTCCCACTCCCACTCCCACTCCCTCTCCCATTTTCGCTCCCACCCGCACTCCCATTCCCATTCCCATTCCCACTTTCACTCTCACTCCCATTCTTACTCCAACTCACACTCACACTCCCACTCCCACTCAACCCCACCTCGCCCCTTCCCGCCCCATCCCACCCTACTCCACTCCGCCCACCCCTATATCAGGTCAAATCGCCATGCACGCCACTCTTGCCAGCCGCGACGTGGTGAGAAGGAAGGGGCGGGGATGGGGGGGAATGGGGGGGAATGGGGGGAAGGGCTGATTGAGGGTGGAAGTGGTTGTGTGGCAGGCACTAGACTAGGGTCAAGAGACAAGAAAGGTATGACTCGAGGGGACCCCATCTGCTTCCCTCAAACCTCCTCTCCTCCCCCTCTCCTCCTCCTCTTCTCCCCCTCTCCTCCCCTCTCCTCCCCCAATCCTCCCCCTCTCGTCCCCCTATCCCCCCCCCTCCTCTCACTCTCCCCCCCCCGTCCTCCCCCCCTCCTCCCCCCCACCTCCCGGCGACCTTCCCCCGTCCTTCCTCCCTCCTCCCCCGTCCTTCTCCCGTCCTCCCCCCGTCCTCCCCTCCTCCTCCATCCTCCCTCCCCCGTCCTCCCCCCCTCCTACCCCGTCCTTCCCCCCTCAGTCCTGACGTCAAACCTGCACCTCAAACCTGCACCTCAAACCTGACATCAAACCTGACCTCAAACCAGACGACCTCAAACCTGACGTCAAACCTGCACCACAAACCTGCACCTCAAACCTGACGTCAAACCTGACCTCAAACCTGCACCTCAATCCTGACGTCAAACCTGACGTCAAACCTGACGTCAAACCTGCACCTCAAACGTCCTCAAATCTGCACCTCAAACCTGACGTCAAACCTGACGTCAAACCTGCACCTCAAACCTGCACCTCAAACCTGCCATCAAACCTGCACCTCAAACCTGCACCTCAAACCTGACGTCAAACCTGACCTCAAACCTGACGTCAAACCTGACCTCAAACCTGACCTCAAACCTGCACCTCAAACCTGACCTCAAACCTGACCTCAAACCTGACGTCAAACCTGCACCTCAAACCTGCACCTCAAACTTGCACGTCAAACCTGACCTCAAACCTGACCTCAAACCTGCACCTCTAACCTGCACCTCAAACCTGCACCTCAAACCTGACGTCAAACCTGCACCTCTAACCTGACGTCAAACCTGACGTCAAACCTGACCTCAAACTTGCACGTCAAACCTGACGTCAAACCTGCACCTCAAACCTGACCTCAAACCTGCACGTCAATCCTGCACCTCAAACCTGCACCTCAAACCTGACGTCAAACCTGCACCTCTAACCTGACCTCAAACCTGCACCTCTAACCTGACCTCAAACTTGCACGTCAAACCTTCACGTCAAACCTGCACCTCAAACCTGCACCTCAAACCTGACGTCAAACCTGACGTCAAACCTGCACCTCAAACCTGCACCTCAAACCTGCACCTCAAACCTGACGTCAAACCTGACCTCAAACCTGCACCTCAAACCTGACGTCAAACCTGGCGTCAAACCTGACGTCAAACCTGACGTCAAACCTGCACCTCAAACCTGCACCTCAAACCTGCACCTCAAACCTGCACCTCAAACCTGCACCTCAAACCTGACGTCAAACCTGCACCTCTAACCTGACCTCAAACCTGCACCTCTAACCTGACCTCAAACTTGCACGTCAAACCTTCACGTCAAACCTGCACCTCAAACCTGCACCTCAAACCTGACGTCAAACCTGACGTCAAACCTGACGTCAAACCTGCACCTCAAACCTGCACCTCAAACCTGACGTCAAACCTGCACCTTAAACCTGCACCTCAAACCTGACGTCAAACCTGACGTCAAACCTGGCGTCAAACCTGGCGTCAAACCTGTTGTCAAAACTGACGTGAAACCTGACCTCAAACCTTCACCTCAAACCTGACGTCAAACCTGGCGTCAAACCTGGCGTCAAACCTGTTGTCAAACCTGACGTCAAACCTGCACCTCAAACCTGCACCTCAAACCTGACGTCAAACCTGACATCAAACCTGGGTCAAACCTGGCGTCAAACTTGTTGTCAAACCTGACGTCAAACCTGACCTCAAACCTTCACCTCAAACCTGACGTCAAACCTGACGTCAAACCTGCACCTCAAACCTGACGTCAAACCTGGGTCAAACCTGGCGTCAAACCTGTTGTCAAACCTGATGTAAAACCTGACGTCAAACCTGACCTCAAACCTTCACCTCAAACCTGACATCAAACCTGACGTCAAACCTGCACCTCAAACCTGCACCTCGAACCTGCACAACAAACCTGCACCTCAAACCTGCCGTCAAACCTGACGTCAAACCTGACGTCAAACCTGATGTCAAACCTGCACCTCAAACCTGCACCTCAAACCTGCACCTCAAACCTGCACCTCAAACCTGCGCCTCAAACCTGACGTCAAACCTGGGTCAAACCTGACGTCAAACCTGACGTCAAACTTGGCGTCAAACCTGTTGTCAAACCTGACGTCAAACCTGGGTCAAACCTGACGTCAAACCTGACGTCAAACTTGGCGTCAAACCTGTTGTCAAACCTGACGTCAAACCTGACCTCAAACCTTCACCTCAAACCTGACATCAAACCTGACGTCAAACCTGCACCTCAAACCTCCACCTCAAACCTGCACCTCAAACTTGCACCTCAAACCTGACGTCAAACTTGACGTCAAACCTGCACCTCAAACCTGCACCTCAAACCTGCACCTCAAACCTGACGTCAAACCTGACGTCAAACCTGACATCAAACCTGACGTCAAACCTGCACCTCAAACCTGAACCTCAAACCTGCACCTCAAACCTGCACCTCAAACCTGACCTCAAACCTGCACCTCAAACCTGACGTCAAACCTGCACCTCTAACCTGACGTCAAACCTGACCTCAAACCTGACGTCAAACCTGACCTCAAACCTGCACCTCAAACCTGACGTCAAACCTGACGTCAAACCTGCACCTCAAACCTGCACCTCAAACCTGCACCTCAAACCTTCACCTCAAATCTGAACTCAAACCTGCACCTCAAACCTGACGTCAAACCTGACGTCAAACCTGCACCTCAAACCTGCACCTCAAACCTGCACCTCAAACCTGCACCTCAAACCTGACGTCAAACCTGCACCTCTAACCTGACGTCAAACCTGACCTCAAACCTGACATCAAACCTGACCTCAAACCTGCACCTCAAACCTGACGTCAAACCTGACGTCAAACCTGCACCTCAAACCTGCACCTCAAACCTTCACCTCAAACCTGACCTCAAACCTGCACCTCAAACCTGCACCTCAAACCTGACGTCAAACCTGCACCTCTAACCTGACGTCAAACCTGACGTCAAACCTGACCTCAAACTTGCACGTCAAACCTGCACGTCAAACCTGCACTGCACCTCAAACCTGCACCTCAAACCTGGATCTCAAACCTGCACCTCAAACCTGACATCAAACCTGACCTCAAACCTGACGTCAAATCTGACCTCAAACCTGACGTCAAACCTGCACCTCAAACCTGCACCTCAAACCTGCCGTCAAACCTGCACCTCAAACCTGCACCTCAAACCTGCACCTCAAACCTGACATCAAACCTGACCTCAAACCTGACGTCAAACCTGACCTCAAACCTGCACCTCAAACCTGACGTCAAACCTGACATCAAACCTGACGTCCAACCTGACGTCCAACCTGCACCTCAAACCTGCACCTCAAACCTGACGTCAAACCTGACCTCAAACTCGACCTCAAACCTGCACCTCAAACCTGCACCTCAAACCTGCACCTCAAACCTGACGTCAATCCTGCACGTCAAACCTGCACGTCAAACCTGCACCTCAAACCTGTACCTCAAACCTGCACCTCAAACCTGCACCTCAAACCTGCGTCAAACCTGCACCTCAAACCTGCACAACAAACCTGCACCTCAAACCTGCACCTCAAACCTGGCGTCAAACCTGGCGTCAAACCTGTTGTCAAAACTGACGTCAAACCTGACCTCAAACCTTCACCTCAAACCTGACGTCAAACCTGGCGTCAAACCTGGCGTCAAACCTGTTGTCAAACCTGACGTCAAACCCGCACCTCAAACCTGCACCTCAAACCTGACGTCAAACCTGACGTCAAACCTGGGTCAAACCTGGCGTCAAACCTGTTGTCAAACCTGACGTCAAACCTGACCTCAAACCTTCACCTCAAACCTGATGTCAAACCTGACGTCAAACCTGCACCTCAAACCTTACGTCAAACCTGGGTCAAACCTGGTGTCAAACCTGTTGTCAAACCTGACGTCAAACCTGACGTCAAACCTGACCTCAAACCTTCACCTCAAACCTTACATCAAACCTGACGTCAAACCTGCACCTCAAAGCTGCACCTCGAACCTGCACAAGAAACCTGCACCTCAAACCTGCACCTCAAACCTGCAGTCAAACCTGACGTCAAACCTGCGCGTCAAACCTGCACCTCAAACCTGCACCTCAAACCTGCACCTCAAACCTGACGTCTAACCTGACCTCAAACCTGCACCTCAAATCTGACGTCAAACCTGACATCAAACCTGACGTCAAACCTGCACCTCAAACCTGCACCTCAAACCTGCACCTCAAACCTTCACCTCAAACCTGACGTCAAACCTGGGTCATACCTGACATCAAACCTAACGTCAAACTTGGCGTCAAACCTGTTGTCAAACCTGACGTCAAACCTGACCTCAAACCTTTACCTCAAACCTGACATCAAACCTGACGTCAAACCTGCACCTCAAACCTGCACCTCAAACCTGCACCCCAAAACTGACGTCAAACCTGACGTCAAACCTGCACCTCAAACCTGCACCTCAAACCTGCACCTCAAACCTGACTTCAAGCCTGACGTCAAACCTGCACCTCAAACCTGACGTCAAACCTGCACCTCAAACCTGCACCTCAAACCTGACGTCAAACCTGCACGTTAAACCTGACGTCAAACCTGACGTCAAACCTGCACCTTTAACCTGACGTCAAACCTGCACCTCAAACCTGACGTCAAACCTGCACCTCAAACCTGCACCTCAAACCTGACGTCAAACCTGCACCTTAAACCTGACGTCAAACCTGACGTCAAACCTGCACCTTTAACCTGCACGTCAAACCTGACGTCAAACCTGACCTCAAACTTGCACGTCAAACCTGCACCTCAAACCTGCACCTCAAACCTGCACCTCAAACCTGCACCTCAAACCTGCCCCTCAAACCTGACGTCAAACCTGTCGTCAAACCTGGGTCAAACCTGGCGTCAAACCTGTTGTCAAACCTGACGTCAAACCTGACCTCAAACCTTCACCTCAAACCTGACGTCAAACCTCATGTCAAACCTGCACCTCAAACCTGCACCTCAAACCTGACGTCAAACCTGACGTCAAACCTGCACCTCAAACCTGACGTCAAACCTGCACCTCTAACCTGACGTCAAACCTGACGTTAAACCTGACCTCAAACTTGCACGTCAATCCTGACGTCAAACCTGACCTCAAACTTGCACGTCAAACCTGCACCTCAAACCTGCACCTCAAACCTGCACCTCAAACCTGCACCTCAAACCTGCACCTCAAACCTGCACCTCTAACCTGACGTCAAACCTGACATCAAACCTGACCTCAAACCTGCACCTCAAACCTGCACCTCAAACCTGCACCTCAAACCTGCACCTCAAACCTGACGTCAAACCTGTCGTCAAACCTGGGTCAAACCTGGCGTCAAACCTGTTGTCAAACCTGACGTCAAACCTGACCTCAAACCTTCACCTCAAACCTGACGTCAAACCTGCACCTCAAACCTGCACCTCAAACCTGCACCTCAAACCTGCACCTCAAACCTGCACCTCATACCTGACGTCAAACCTGACGTCAAACCTGGCGTCAAACCTGGTGTCAAACCTGTTGTCAAACCTGACGTCAAACCTGCACCTCAAACCTGCACCTCAAACCTGCACCTCAAACCTGCACCTCAAACCTGCACCTCAAACCTGATGTCAAACCTGACGTCAAACCTGGGTCAAACCTGGCGTCAAACCTGTTGTCAAACCTGACGTCAAACCTGACCTCAAACCTTCACCTCAAACCTGACGTCAAACCTGACGTCAAACCTGCACCTCACACCTGCACCTCACACCTGCACCTCACACCTGCACCTCACACCTGCACCTCACACCTGGAGGAATCTCTCAATCGCATTGCCCCGCAAACTGTATCATTGTGGTCGCATGAGAACGACCACTGCGTCATCGTTGTCGCTGAGGCTGAGGCATGTTGTTTTTGAGGCTAAGGGCGCGGGGCAGGGAAAGGCCTCGTGCTGCTTGCTCCGTTTGTGCTTGTGTTTGTGGTAGCGCCCATCCTTCCCCTCTCCTCTCCCCCCCATCTCCCGCATCCGCTCTCCTCCCTACCAGGTGTCTGATTCTCGAGGTGCCCTTCCAGCTAGAGAGCGAAGGGGGTCTCATTTAGTGCAGGGAGAGGAAGCTGTATGAGAACGACCACTGCGCCATCGTTGCCCTTTTACCCCTCACCCACCCACTTTACCCCCAGGACTGCTGTCTCATCCCCGAAGTCCCTTTCCATCTAGAGGGCGAGGGCGGGCTGTTTGAGTTCAGGGAGAGGAAGCTGTATGAGAATGACCACTGCGTCATCCCACCCCCCTCTACTCTCTGTGCCCCCGCCCCCTACCCAGGACTGCTGCCTGATCCCCGAGGTGCCGTTTCACTTGGAGGGCGAGGGAGGCCTGTTTGAGTTCATGGAGAGGAAGCTGTATGAGAACGACCACTGCGTCATCGTTGTGGCTGAGGGCGCGGGGCAGAGCCTCGTGGCGCAGAGCTTGCCTGGCGGGGCAGGCACGGACAAGTCGGGGAATGCTCTGCTGCTGGACGTGGGGCTGTGGCTGTCAGAACGCATCAAGGTGGGTTTGGTGGCGTGCGCCTGTGGTGGTGTGTGTGTGTGCGCATGGGTGCGGGGCAGAGCCTGGTGGCTTAGAGCTTGCCGGGCGGGACGGGGACGGACAAGTCGGGGAAGGCTCTGCTGCTGGACGTTGGGCTGTGGCTCTCGGAACGCATTAAGGTGAGAGAGTGTGCGAGGATGAATTGAAGGAGGTGCATATAAGGTGCTTGCGGGGCAGAGCCCTGTGGCGCAAAGCTTGCCTGGTGGGACGGGCACGGACAAGTCGGGGGAGGCTCTGCTGCTGGATGTGGGGCTGTGGCTGTCAGAGCGCATGAAGGTGGGAGTGGTTGCGGTGTGTTAAGGTGTGACCCTGGTGGGGGCAGAGGGTGCCGGGGAAGAGCCTGGTGGGGCAGGCACGGACAAGTCGGAAAACGCTCTGCTGCTGGACGTGGGGCTGTGGCTGTCAGAGCGCATCAAGGTGGGAGTGGTTGTGGTGTGTTAAGGTGTGACCCTGGTGGGGGCAGAGGGTGCCGGGGAAGAGCCTGGTGGGGCGGGCACGGACAAGTCGGAGAACGCTCTGCTGCTGGACGTGGGGCTGTGGCTGTCAGAGCGCATCATGGTGGGAGTGAGTGGTGTGTGTATGTGTGGGTTTGCATGGGCATGAGGGGGCGAGACGGGGCAGAGCCTGGTGGCGCACAAGTCGTGGTCCACGCGCTCGCGCCTTGGTCCACCCGCGCTTCTTGGTCCACGCGCGCGCCTTGATCCGCGCGCGCGCCTTGGTCCACACGCACGCCTTGGTCCACACGCGCTCCTTGGTCCACGTTCGCGCCTTGGTCCACACGCACGCCTTGGTCCACGCGCGCGCCTTGGTCCGCGCCCGCCCGCGCCTTGGTCCGCGCCCGCACGCGCCTTTGTCCACCCTAAAGCCTTGGTCCACGCACGCGCCTTGGTGCACGCACGCGCCATGGTCCGCTGCTGCTGGACGTGGGGCTGTGGCTCTCAGAGCGCATCAAGGTGGGTGTGTGGATGAAGGTGGAAATCACCTTAACCATCTCCTTTCGTGCAATGCTTGACACTGTCTACAAACCAATTCAAAAGTCGCCTCATACGCTTCTCATGCACTGCTTGCCCCCATGCGCCCTCCCCATGCACTGTGCCACCATCAGGAGCACTTCAGCGCGGACAAGAAGAGCGAGATCAGCCTCAAATACATCGGTGAGTGTTCCCCTTGTGCTTTGAGAGTTAAAATATGTATATATATATGTATTTATGTTTTGTGTGTATATGCATAAAAACAAAAACAAACAAACGAGACCAAGCATAATTTGTGTTTTGAAAGCCTTGCTGAGCTTCTAATCCGGTTGTTGTTTGCACTCCCTTTCCCCCCTCCCTCCCACACCACACCCCCTTCCCCCACCAGACCCCACATACATGATCCGGGCCATCCCAGCCAATGCTGGTGATAACATCTACTGCACGCTGCTGGCACACGGGGCCATTCACGGCACCTCAACTGCATTGCTCACCTCTTTCTTTCCTTGTCTCTCTCATTCTTTCCCCCCTCCTCCACCAGACCCCACATACATGATCCGGGCCATCCCGGCTAACGCAGGGGACAACATCTACTGTACGCTGCTGGCACACGGGGCCATTCACGGCGCCATGGCTGGCTACTCAGGGTTTGTGGTGGGGCCTGTCAACGGCACACAGTGCTACATCCCTGTCAATGTACGTTGCTGGATTCGCCATTCTGAATGCTTTCAGTTGTTACCCTCCACATACACTGCTGGCACACGGGGCCATTCACGGCGCCATGGCTGGTTGCTCGGGCTTCGTGGTGGGGCCGGTCAACGGCACACAGTGCTACATCCCTGTCAATGTACGTTGCTGGGTTCACCAGTCCAAATGCGCCCGCCCATGCGCCCGCCCATGCGCCCGCCCATGCGCCCGCCCATGCGCCCGCCCATGCGCCCGCCCATGCGCCCACCCATGCACCCACCCATGCACCCACCCATGCACCCACCCATGCACCTCTACCCAAAGCAAAGGTACCCTCCAAACGTCCATGCCAAACGTCCATGACCCTACTTCCTCTCACTTGCTCCCATCTCTGTAATATACCCCTCTCTCCACCTCGTATCCATCTCACCCTAATTCCTACCCCATTGCATACCCCCCACATAGTCACAGCCCTTACCTCCCTCTCTGGAACCCCCATCCTCACACTTCTCGCAATATGTGACCAACCCCCAAGTCGCTGCCGCTCATGCCTACAGCCCCATAGCCTGACTCTTTCTCCCTCCCCCTCCTGATTCCTTCCCGTCATTCCCGCTCCCTCTCCCCATTTCCCGCTGCCCTCCCCCACTCCCTCTCCCCACTTCCTCCCCCCGCTCTCCCACTCCCTCACACACTCACAGCAAGTGACGGCCCCCAAGTCAGTGGCCCTCACTGACCGCATGTGGGCGCGCCTCCTCTCCTCCACCTCCCAGCCCACCTTCATGCGTGTCAGCCAATCCGCTGCTGCCACGTCAGCACCCCGGGCAAATGCTGACGGTGTGCCGGCGATGCCTGACGAGGCACGACCGGTGGACCATAAGCACAGGCATGGAGGGCATAATCTGACAAGAGCCTGGAGTAACCGCACGTGGGCTGCTGCTGCAAGGGACAAGACTGGAGACATGATGGAGCCTTAGATTTCTTATAGTTTTATATCAAATTACACACAATGCTGTAGCAATTATTTAGTCTGATTTAGGGGTGTCTAATGGATGTTATGTTTATGGCTGGAGCGACCTACAATGTTGGCTGCTATGGCTGTATGCTGTCCCTGAAATCTGCATTATATCTCTAACGCGTACGTACGTTGAAGGACTGCGAGTGATCCAGAAGGTCGTGATGTGGCATCAGCCAATCCCACGGTGTGTCTTGCGTCACGCTGACTCTGATCTGACACCATCATATGTGTCAAGATATCGCAGGACTGGCCACCGTGACGCGAGCGATCCCCGTCTTGACACATAATTTGCACGGCTCAGATTCGCCGTCAACTCAATTCTGGCCCCAGTGCCGCGGCGCAGCGTTCATCCACTCACTGCGCACCTTTATGACACCGTTTTCAAAAGCTTTTCACCTTAGTGCTACTTTCTTCATCGTACTTCAGCAGTTTGAGACCCGCGCGTTTCAGCGTTTCCCCTTCGCAACACCTTCGCCTCACCGCCCCCTCTGACACGCGAGCTCCTCAGAGCGAACTAAAGCTGCTGACGCTACCCCAGCTACAGCTCATTCCAACCATTTACCAACGTCTCAAATCGATCTTTTCTGCCGCAGCGTTGCACCCTGGCAGAACAGCCATTTCACTCCACAGTCTGGGCTCCACACTCATACTGGCCACCACAGACAGCAGCTTCTAGGTTCTATGCCCCGCCTTCACCATTTCTTGTTCATAAAACATGGCTGTGACGAGACTCGTGTAATACGAGCTTGTACACCTGTTTTTGATTCGCTTTCAGCCTAGCTGCTTCCCGTGTGTCGTAAACTGCGTCGCAACTGTCATTAGGATCCGATTTCGAAGTGAAACAAAGTATTTCTTGCTCGACACGAAGGGAATCGGACGCGTGTGACACGCCTGAGAAAGCTTTTAACGTCATAAGCGCCTGAGAAAGCGTTTATCTATTCGTGGTTCTTGTATCATACGCAGGTGTTGCTTGTAGCACGATGTCGACCAGTGCCATATCGCATTTAACGAAATCAGCCAGTAACGGAGCATGCCGTTGCCGACTGGCGAAGCGTGCCCCACAGCACGCCTCGCCGAGACTCCCGGCGCGAGTCACGCCGAGAAACAGATCGACCGTCAGGGCCGCGTTTCCACCCGTTTTCGAGGCGCTTCAAAACCCACCGTTTTTTCTCTCCCGCGCATTGCCTCGCCTCGGCTCGACTCCCTTAGCGCATTCAACGGAGCTCAAGCGAGAGAAACGAAATAAACCAATAGAAGCAGGACACGTGCGTGGAGAAGAGTCAGGCACAAATACCGCGTCTGCGTCGCCGCTGATCCCGCGATGGATTTCGGGACGCGCCAACGTCGCACGGTCCAACGACGCGCGGCCAAGCGACGCGAAAGCGATCGCAAGCGACGTTGAGCGACGGCACACAGCGACCACGCGTGTCGCAGAAGGCCTGAAAGGCGGCGCTTCCGGAGTAGCAGAAGGCACGCAGTGTGTGACATGCGGCAGTCGCATGGACCCGTCGCACATGGTCGCATCGGTGTCGTCGGCTCCACAGCCAATGGGTCTTCTCCACGTGTCCCCGCGAGACGTGCCTGTTCTGACCCTCGGCTTCGTCGCATGCTCGGTAACACATCTTGCTGCATAAGATTCATATGTTTTGGGACCTTAAAAAAACACTACACTCTCTTTTTGCTCCTGATGACACTACTCTTTTCACTGTCAGAAACATGTCTCTCGGGCCTTCTCTCTCCCGCTGTCTGCCTGCCCGTTATCATCACATTTGTTTGTCTCACCCCCGCTTCCTCCCTCCTTCTCTCTGTGCAGATCTCCGCGGCGCTCTCCGGAATAATCTTCGCCGCGATTCCCGCGCTCCTGGTACGTTCTGCCTACACTCATCGGTCCCATCCGCGCCCTCCTAGCGTTTTGAGAAGTCTCAAAACACTTCTGTTTACACGTGTCCTCTCTCTCCTCTCATGCCTCGCACTCTAAAAAAGTTCCCTCCTTCCTTGCCACGCCATATTGCACCACACCACACCGCACCGCACCACTCGTTTCCTCCCCTTTATTGTGGCGTCTCAGAGCCTCATACGCACCAAACCACCATCTCTCCTCTCACTCGCCTCACTCGTCTCTCGGGCTAGCAGCGCTTGGTCGGTGTCACACACACACCCACTCGGGGCTGCCGGCCGGTAGTGAACGACGTGTGTTGTCCACACCCACTAGAGCTCACCATTGTGAGACGTCTTAGAATATCACTTTTATCACCTGCCGGCCAGGCCACTAGTGGACGACGTGCGTTGTCCACACACCCACTAGAGCGCACCATCCCCGCGTCCTCCCCTTCTCTCATCCCAAACAGGCGGTGCGGCGGGCAGCGCAGGCAGTGGAGAGGCTCGCAGCGACGGCGAGGGAGGAGCTGCCACCCCCCCTCTAGTGACGGCGTGTGCGCCCACCCACTAGTGTCTGCACACGCCCACTAGTGTCTGCACACGCCCACTAGTGTCTGCACACGCCCACTAGTGTCTGCACACGCCCACTCACCATCTCTCCACCCCCCCGCTACAGGCGGTACGGAGGGCAGCGCAGGCGGTGGAGCGGCTGGCAGCCACAGCGAGGGAGGAGCTGCCTTCGGCTCGTGTTTGTTCAATTCCTGCTGGCTTTCCAGTCTCACTCGCTCCCATTCACCTCTCCCCCCGTCCCCCAGGCGGTGCGGAGGGCAGCACAGGCTGTGGAGCGGCTGGCAGCGACGGCGAGGGAGGAGCTGCCGGGGACCATGGCGGCAGTGCGGCTGTCAGGGATGGAGATCAGCGACCTCACCATGGAGCTCAGCGACCTCAGGTGAATCCTCAGGTGTTTTTTCAGGTGATTTTCAGTCTCTAGGTATTTCAACTGCCGTCTCAGGTAGTGGCTGGAGCTGCGAGGGACCAAGATGCCTGTAAGGCTTACAGGCTGTCATAAACCTCAGGTGCGTCAGGTGAGACTCTGTCGATTATAAGGTGACACCTCAGGTGGGGCTCAGGCGATTTTTCTGGTGGATCCTCAGGGGACACCTCAGGTAAAAGTCACGTGAGGTGTCAGGTAGGAACCTGGTCTGCTCTGTTGTATTTCAGAGACCTCGAACATGTCTTACGCGCACCACCAATACAACTCCTCGCCTATCTCTCTCTCCCCCCCCATGCCACCATCGTCCCATCTCTCCCCACCCGTCTGCCTGCCCATACAGCCACGAGATCTCTCAGGGAGTGCGCAGTCCTGCACGGACGTCCCGCTATCTGCCCGCCCGTTCTCTTCTCCATCACTCCATCCCTCCATTTTTCATCTCTCCCAACTGCCTGCCCGTCTGCCTGCTCATCTGCCCACCCTTCCAGCCACAAAATCTCCCAGGGAGTGCGCAGACCTGCACGGGCCTCCCCTCATCCACCCGCTCATTGATCTCCCCATCACTCCATCTCTCCATGTTTCCTCTCTCTCTTCTGCCTGCCCATCTGCCCACCTGACCAGCCACGAGATCTCTCAGGGAGTGCGCAGTCCTTCACGGACGTCCCGCCTTGCCGCCAGCACCAGCAGCACCAGGGCCAAGGAGCAACACACTGCTGGTAAGTGCTGGTAGCCGCTGGTAACCAGGTAACCACGTGCTGTGCTCAGGTAATGACCATGCTGATCTGTGCATGATCCCACCGCTGCCTCTTTAACAAAATCTTCTGAACATACCCTCATACTCCATCCTCCTGGTGAGCCCTGCTTTTGAGTCAACTCAAAAGCCTCTTTAACAAAATCTTCTGAGCATACCCTCATACTCCATCCTCATGTAGCCCTCCTTCCTTCCTTTTAGTTCCTTTAGGACTTCCTTTTCCTGCCAACCCCTCCCCCTTTCCAACCGCCCCTCCCTCACACACTCCCCGTGCCTTGCCCCGTCCTCCTCCCTCGCCCCTCCTACCAGACTCTCTCAAGGACGCCACAGTGATCCCCATCCGCGTGGTAAGCCCTCTCTTCTCCTCGGCTGCCAGTGCGGTCGGTGCTGCCGCCTCCACAGTCGGCTCTACAGTGTCTCACGTGGGCGGCACGGTCGGGGCGGCGGCGTCGCACGTGGGCGGCACGGTTGGGGCGGCAGCGTCACATGTGGGGGCGGCAGCGTCGCATGTGGGAGGCGCAGCGGCTCACATTCCCTCGGTAGTATTCAACCTCGTGGATTTTCTGCCGTGGGGACACCGGAGAGGTGGTGAGGGAGGAGAAACTGGAGGGGAAACAAACGGAGACACAGCAAACGCCCACTCTACTGCTGCTGCTAAACTGGCTGCAAAGCCTGCTGCAGATTCTGCAAAGCCTTCTGCCTCTGCCGCTGCTCCTGCTGACATCCCTGGTAGGACCAACTCCGCTGCTCCTGCAACTAAAGCAGCAGCGGCTACTTCAGCTTCCTCTGGTGCTGCCTCCGCTGGTCCTCACTCCAGAGCACCTTCCAAGCCAGTCGCCACAGGAAGGGCCAGACCTATCCCAAGTGGATCAAGCCCAGACCAGCAATCGCCCGAATCACTCCACCACAGGCCCCACCAGCCTCTCCAGCCTCTGAATTCCCACGAGTTTCACCAGTTGAACGAGAATCAGCAAGCTCATCATGGGAGTGTGGGGTCTCGAAAGGCGGCAGGAGCAGGTGACACAAGGCAAGAGGTGACGGTGGGGGCAGCTGCAGAGGAGCATTTTGAGCTGTCATCGCTGCCGTCGTTGGTGGGGTGGCTGCAGCACAGAAAGGACAAGGAGAAGCACCCTAGGGGAGATGCGAAGGGGTGAACGAAGGTGTTACTGATTAGGGATTTTGATTAGAAATGAGGGCCATCAGTCAGGACTGGGGGTAGGTGTCCTCATGCAGTAAGGACAAGTTGAAGCGGCCAAGGGCAACCTCTAGATATCAAAGCAAAGCGTACACAGTCGGTCGGAGCCATGGTGATATGAGGGTTGTGACTGCCGAGTCGTGACAGGTTCTGGGTGGTGCTTATTGATTTGTGACCGGCGTTTGACATCGGGCTGTGGGTCCTGATAAAAAATAGACCTACATTTTGTATTGTGTGGCCTTGGCATAAACCGTTCCAGCTTGCATACGGTCATTTCGGTTGAATCTATGTACAGGGTGAAATTTGTTTTCAGCAATTCTACAATCTATTGCCGCGCTGGAATCACTGCAAGTGCGCCAGTTTCTACCGAAGCATGCGCCAATCTCCTGCCGCCCGATCTGGTTCTGTCTGGCCCTCTTCCCCAATCTGGAATCTGCTCCAATTCCCCAATTCAAAGCAGCCCCATTTACCCCTCCACATATCTCGTTAGCCCCCACCCTATGGCCAGCGTTTCCTTGTACGCTGTCGTTATGAGTAGTCGACGGGGCAGGAGTAGAAGCAGGGGAGTATAGCCTTCGCGTCGCGATGCAACCGCCGGACGCATTTTTTCCCGTCTACAGACGAGTGTTCGGCTCATCATTTCTCCAGCCGGCAGCGCAGCAGCAGCACGGCGTGGAGTGGCAGACGCGGTTGCGCCACGTGTACTTAATGGGCGTCATAGTCGACGTGGATAAGCTCCCCTTTAAGTTCGTCCGATTCGCCTTAGATGACGGCAGCATGACCGCCGCCAGCTGCGCTCGCCCCGCCCCTTCAACCGCCCCGTTCCCCGACCCGTCCCCCGCACCGCTCCCGGTCTCGTCACCCGCCCCCCCGCGCACCGCCTCCGCCCGTGTCCCTGCCCCTTCGGCTATCGCGACACCCCCAGCGCGACTTACGGGCGCGTTACCAGTCGCCGCACGGCAACTGTCCACCGTTTGTGCCACGCGGCCTGTGCGCGCAGTGCCATGTGTGCTGTGGCTCAACAGTCGCGATCACGCGGAGCGCCACGTGGCGATGCTGCAGGCGGCCACGTGTGTCCACGTGGGCGCGCTGGTGGGCGTGCGGGGAAGAGTGATGGTGTTCAATGGACGGAGGCAGGTAAGTGACGGATGAAATTGGGGTTTTGAACATGCGCAGAAAGTTTGGGGTAATCGCGGCATGGGTAGGAGACGCGTGAGAATGGGGAGATCCTGGCCGAAGCAGCGGGATCATGCGGAAATACGTAGGAAATATGGGTGCTCGATTCTGGATGAGAGCAATACCAGTGCAGCTTTCATCCTGCGTCCGTGTTTCTATGTAGGATGACACGCACGCATTTGATGGTGCAGGTGACAGTGGATGCGGTGTGCGCGATATCAGATCCCAACGAGGAAATATTGCACTGGCTGGATTGCCTCGAAACTTTACATCGGAGCTGATACATGATTGCCGTTCATGCAGAGATGTACTGTACATGTACATTATCAACAGCTTCTACATGTCTAGCGTTGCTAAGTCACTAAAATCATCAGCATTTGCATTTTGGCATACAGCACATGCTTTATCCGTTTTATCCTACAGACATACGAGCAGCCAAATAATATTACAATGGGCACCCATCCCTCAATGCTACCTCAGTTATGGCGTAGGGAAGAATAACGATAGGAAAACAAGCGAGCAACCCAATACCGCGGACAACCAGCCTCGCGAGAAGCTTAGTTTGAAGCGGAGCTCTCAGGCATGGCACGGTGGTACGCTGCCATCGCGCAGTCCACACCGAGAACAGACGCAGCCTCGTACGCGCGGGGAGTTCCATCCAGGAATCCCGCGCCTAGCTCCCCGTCAGCAGAGATCGGGCGATGGAGCGACGACACGAGCTGCTGGAAATCAATCGCACGGTCGACGTGGTCCTCCCTGTAAGTCTGACCCAGCACGCCGTGAACGTTCTCCGTGTAGTCGAAAGATGTAACGGCCACGTTGATATGAACTTCGGCGTCGCTGGGGGTCTGAAGTTTCGGGTGAGCCACACGCAGGCGGATGTCGAACGAGATGATACCGGCGATTGAGACGGTGTAGTAATCCACGTCGTACGGGCCCTGCTTCTCGTACGCACGGAGGGCGACCGTTAGGCCACCGTCGCCGTTGAATTCCTCGCCGAGCGCCAGCCGTTGGATCACGGTACCGTCAACCTCAATGGCCTTCATGTAACCAGCGCCTCGCTCCTGCTCCTTGCCGTTGCGGGCAACCAAACGGAGACGGTGGTCCGCACCGTTGGCGAACCACACGATACCGAGCTCCCTGAAATATCACACGAGGAAACGAAGTTTGGAAACTGGTCGACTAACCACTTGGGAAAAAAAAAAAAAAAAAAAAAAACCGGCTCGATTTGTGCAAAAGAAGCGTCAGCGCTGCTTACTTGATCCACGTGTGAACGGCCTTTCCGTCGACAACAAGAGCCGCGCCCTCGGTACGGTCGTCGTAGTATCCCCTCAGCAGCATGTTCACGTGCACGTTCTTATCCGTCAGCAGGCAGAACGCCTTGTCGGGGCGGCCGTTGAAGTCGAAGTGCGTGCCGTGCGCGCCGGTGAAGTGCGGGTCATCGATGACCTCGGGATTGTCGTTGCACCTGCCGCCAGCACGCACCTGCAGGTACACGGGCTTGTCCTTGCCCTCGTAAATCGCTGCAAGGTCGCCGCATTCGAAGTTCTGCTCGCCAGCCATCAGATCGCAAGTCCCCATTCTGCGCTAAAAAAAACATTCAAGAGAAACGATAGAGATCAGAGCAGGACAACAAAAACTCCAGCACGAATCAAGTAGCGATTACGAGTAACATAGAGTAAGATGTCGGATACTTACTCTCTGCCGTTGCCGGGGATGAACTGCCAGTAGGTGCAGTCGTGGCTCGCGGCGCACTGGTTGCAGCACGACTCGGGGGTAGCCTTCTTCTTGGAGAACCCGCCGTTGGGCAGGATGGTCGCCCAGTGATTCCCCTTCTTTGTGGTAATGATAGACGTCTTGAACTTGGCGGGCCAGCCGCCCTTGGAGCAGTTCACGGCGGTGCATCCGCCCCAGCCCTTCTTAGCCAGGTCGTTGGGGCACTGCTTAGCATTCCACGACGAGCCTTTGATCCGAACCTCGCCCGCGTCGAAGGTGCTGAATGAATCCGTGTAGCTCGTCAGGTCGGCGCCCTTGCCGGAGGAAGCACCGACCTGCTTGGGTGCCGTCGCCACCGGCTTCTTCGATTCGCCTTTCTTCGATCCGCCTTTCTTGGAACCGCCCTTCTTCACGCCTCCTTTGACCGAGCCTCCTGTCTTCACGCCCATGCCTACTTTGACCTCGCCTCCTGCTTTGACACCTCCTTTGATCTCGCCTCCTGCCTTCACGCCTCCTTTAACCTTGCCGCCCGTTTTGCCCTTCTTGCTCAGCGTGCTCGCCTTGCCCGCCTCTGCGCAGATGATTACGGCAAGGACCAGCAGCGCAAGAAACACGACGCTAAGACGCGCCATGGCGGCGGGAATTCTTACGAGCGAATCTGGGGTAGGGGAGTAACTCGAATTCCTGCTCTACTGTGAATCCCGTAAGCTGCTCTGCTACTATCTGATATCTGCCTGCTCCTCTCTAACTACTGAGGATTGTGTGAGCAGAGAACTCCTAGCAAGTGCTGTAAACCCGCTAGAATTTTTTTTCTCAAGATCTGATGGTAAACTTCAGGTGGTTTGGTCTTGGTTTTGAAGAGGGATGTTGCCCCGTGGGCGTCGAGCCAAGCAGAGTTGCCATTGGTTGCAACATGCCCAAACATTTGTTGCCCGTATCAGAACATGGTCTCAGGTGGAAGTGATGATACGGAGTGTAACAGCAGTCACACATCCCTTCAGCCTGGCAAAGACTGACGCGCCGCAGAGAGCCAGCTTGGCCCCTGGTGGCCTTGTTGCTAGTCTTGGACATGGCGACATGAAATACTGTGCAGGTAAATTTACAGAGACCGACTCTCTCGCAGGTTGACGGTTTGCATTCTTTCGCGAAGCGCATACAAGAACACCTGCGTCCCGATGCACCCATGAGGTTATCGACACAGATGCACGGACCAGTCCTGCACCTCCCTTTTTCCCAAAACTGTCTCCCTTCAAACTCCAACCAGGGTACGGCAGCAAAAAGAACGAACCGCAGGGAAAAATGTGCTCAACATTGACCCCAAAACAGTTGTGCATGGCATGGACCCGGCTCTTCGTTTGAGCTACTCTTGATTCTGTATATACTTCTCAAAAATAACAAGAGGCGACAAAATCGTCTTAGGGTTGCGAAGCGTTTACGCATTTGTAAACACCACATATATTGTACAGACTACTGCAGCATAACAGTTAGTCAGGTTTTGAAAAATGACTTCTGCAGGCATCGACCTCAAGACTTGTTCATTAATCATGGAAAACCAACTGTGCTAACAATGTCTCTTTGTTAATCGAGTCGCAAAACTCCTAAAAAATGTTTGCGACGAATCTGACACCTCTTTAGGGTTTGTTCGTCCCTCTTCTTCTCCCTCGCTAGTTGAACCCCCCTCAAGTTGGGCTCTACCTACCATTTCGACTTCCTACTAAGGTGAGAACTACTTTAACCCATCAAGTAGATTAGGTTACGCGATTACGAGCTAGTCTAATGTTGGCCTAAGGCATATTAGTCTAGGTCGTATTGGTAGCTTTTAAAGGATGAAAACCGTTAAAGCTTATATTATAAACTTGCTGCAAATATTTTAGCTTCATGTTTTCCATAACCCTGCATCTGTTTTTCGGTTTTTCATCGACTAACATCTCTTAATCTCGTGTCTTAACTGTTTAGTAGGGATGCGGGTTATGTAAGCTAAGGGTAGAGGCCTTTTGTCTAGACTTCACTGTTTTTCCTTGCCTTTCTAAGGCCCTATTCTTTGTCTCTTACTGCATATCTAGCATC